AACCTAGGCTGGTATTCACTAGAGTAGCTTTGTTGATGTTTGAGTAAGATGAAGGCAGTATCAGTCATCATTGAGCCCAATTGCACTAGTGCTGTTCAGGCCCCTGAGATAGAAGGTCCCTAGTATGATTACAGAGATTTTGCTGTGAAATTTCTTTGGGATGAGAATATAATCTTTCCATTAGATGCTTTTCTTTGATCTTGCATCTTACTTGCTTCACGTGTTTGGGATATATTTGGGAAAACCGGGTGTGCTTCCACTGCTCCCCGCTCCAAGTCTCCTGATAATGGAGAGAAGAGAGTCAACTACTGAGTCATCAGCACTTGGTCTTCTCTGTGGTGGTTTCTCATCAAGTACTGGTTTAGCTCAATTGTGCTTGACTCTGTGTTTTATTCTCTTCCTCCAAATTGAGTTACCCGTGCACGCTACCTCAACTGACTTATGCAGATAATGTAGATTTGGCAGAGAATGCATCTGTATTTTGGGAGATGAATGATTTAACTTGCTTGCAGTGTTTCTAAATACTGAAGGAGCTCTTGAATTACTATTAAAAGCATTACTATAAAGGCACAAACTTCAGACTTACCTTTTTTTGCAAAGTTCTGATAATTACTGAGGTAAAGTGAGTCAGTAGTTCAGCATTTTGCAGAATATCAGGTTTAAGATCCTTTTTATTAATGAAATCCATAAAACCCAGTGACAAGTCATGAAGCATATGTGCTGCAGACTTATAGTAAGAAATCAGTCAACATCGTGCACACAGTGAAATAAGATTTATGCAGAAATATGGTAACTCCCATGCTCAAAAAAGCCTTCCCTCCCCCCCACTTTTGACCATGGAAAATGTCATGATTCTTTACTTTCGAAAGTGCTTTACTTTTCATTAATACTCAGAAATTTAATTTTGCTTAGTTCTTTTTATTTATTTTGTTCAATATTGCTGTTGGCAAAGGATTTGATGCTTAAGTAAAGAGGGCATTGCCTAGGATGTCCCAAGTAATTGTGCTTCCGACTTGAGACAATGGGGATGCAGAGGATAAGGAGATCAGGTCTTACCTTAAGTCAGAGGATACACTATAATTATGATTTGTGAAGCACCCCCAGACATGGTTCCCAGAGCAGAGAACGATGATTTCGTGAATAATAAAACCACAATGAGAACCATATGACTGTCTTTACAAGACCTGCGACCAAAAAGCAAAAAAAGAAAGAAGCTTCTGAAACCAAGGGGGAAATGGCCTAAATTTGGAAATATTTCAGATCTTAATTTTTTGGATTTGTTTTCTTTAGTTAAAAGAAAACATTGATATATGTGAGGGAAGAGAGGTTGCATGCTGAAGGTTGTCTGAGCATGTAATTGTTACCAGAGAAGTGGTATTCAAATGAAAATCTGCCAACTCGAGTCTTGAAGAACTTGGCAGAAACAGCCAGAGCCTTCATCATACGGAACTTTAAAGACCGTTTGGAGAAATACAGTATCAATTAGAAATTGTATAAACAGCTAGTGAAAATGATGAATAATCTTTTCAGAGTAGCTCATGATCCTGCCATGGAAGCACCCTGTTTAATTTTAAGTTGTAAGTAGTAGTTATTCCCAACTGGGGAAAAAAAAGCCGGTAACGTCTTTTATCTCCTGCTGTGGCCCAGGTACATAGTGCTGCTAGGAACATGTAATGGAGTCATTAACGGGGCAGCCTGTGGATCTATTACGATAATTTTTATACCAAATGCAGCACAGGCTTTTCCTGTACGGGATGTCATTAGAAACAGCAAGAGATTTAATCAGCTATGTTAATGTCTTCAGAGTATCTTCCTGAAATTATCCTTCGCTTGTTTATCATTTTTGGGTCTTCCTTCAGTAGTTGATGTCTTCATTATCAGTACTGCTTTGTGTAATCTGACAAATAAGACCATGTATAGGAGAAAAGACATATATAATTTTTAATATTAGATGCTCTTGGAGAAACTACTTCTTCTGAGTAGATCATGCTGATCAACTTCTACAGTCCAGCTGTCGTAATGAGAGAGATGACTGCTTTTGCTGCTTGTAGCTGCCCTTCTTATGTACAGGACCAGTACTGCTGATGTGCTAGCAAAGCAGTTTGGGAGCGTACGCTATTTTATTTTGGGCAAAATCGGCCAGATGAGCTCACTCCACTGATTAAATTGTTTATGCCAGCCCACCCCATTTCGCGTGACATTAAAGAGAGATTTTTACAAAGAACGTGTCAAGTCTCACTACCTCCCAAAGTTATAGGAACCAACAACAAGCAGCAGTTTGGCTGGTGGATTGAAGCCTGTTTCGTGGAGAATCCTTGCTGGGGAGAAGTACTTGTCTCTCTCGCCTGTTTCTCACATTTGCAGCAATTAACGCCTCATTTCAGCTGGCCTCATTTGACTCTCCGTTCTGGTTCGTAGGTTTCCGATGTGGTCCACTGCTGCACACAGTAATTTTTGTTGTTTCAGATCTGTAATTACAGGGGTATTTGACTTCTGCCTGGTTTGTACTGAATGAAAGGTAGCTGATGCTGCCACTAATCCCAGACAGGTCTGTAGATCAAAGATATGCTGGCAGCTGCCAGCACTTCTACATTAGTAGTAAGTATCCAGTGATACATGAAGTTCATGTGTCATGGACCGGCTTCCAAATCGCTCATTTGTAGTATGTTTTAAGCGAACTAGCGATGCTCGTAAGTCTCATCATATCATCCATAATGACCAATCAGAGAGTACGGTATCGCAGGCAGACGCTGCCCTACCCTGCGCTCGCAGTGTGACTGTCGCTCAGAGCTGGTTAAGTAGCACCGAGTGCTGCTGCTGCTGCTAGATGTTCGTGCCCAAATGCTGAGTGGGCATACAAATTACTATGTCAGAAAACACAAGAGATTTAACAGAAAGGTAAGTAGCAGCGCACAGCATTTTCCATTTGGCTTAGAGGCGGTTCTGATCTTGCTGTTGAAAGCAGGAGAGAATCTGCAGCCCACTAAAGCATGACTAATCAGTTTGCTAAAATACTTAGCACTCTCTAGTTTAAAATATTTCTTCTCTATTGTTAACAGCAACAGATGATGATTTGTAGCATTTATGTAAGGTGTGTATTTTGTTCAGGTCTTAAGCCCTTCACTTGGGAACTACATCAAATGTCAGGTTTCCTTGGAGCATGAGGGAAGTGTGCAACTTGTATTTTTGCTGCTGCTGGGGATGGCACTGTGTTAATAATTCTTATTCCAGAAAAAGTGCTAAGTAATTAATATATCTTATTTGTGCTTTGAGCTTCAACAGTGTTTTTTTCTTTGTCATCTTTCTGTTTCAAAGAAATATTTTGAAAAGGTTTATTTGTATTGAATGGGGTAATTCTCCTGCATGACAAGAAACAAACAAACAAAAAACCCAGGTAAAATGTTACTAGTCTAAATATTTTAAACCAGATGAGAATATGTTTTATATAGTGTTAAATATGCTATTTGGTTCAGGGACACAGATTTTAAAAAAGCAGGTAAGAATTGTAATACATGTAAACAATAATTGGCAAAGTTTTTATTATTACAGTAAGTAAGGCTCAGAATATTTAGGCAGACATGATATTGCATATTGTATGAGACGGATGCCAAGGTTTGGTTAATCAATGTTTGCAAAGCACTTGGAGAGTCTCTTGGGTGCAGAAGGATTTGAAGTGTATTTGAAGTGTGATGACAACAGCCGCTATGAACAGTGTCATATAATGTTTCTCTCAAATTTCTAATTCTGTTTTTCATATATGTAATTACGGTCTTTTTTTCTTTGCAGTCATTATTCTTAAAAACATAACCAAACCACTGCTGCAGTCGGTGGTTATTACTGATGCTATTTGTTTGTTCTGTGCTCCCCTGTCTTTTCTTTAAGATGATACCAGGACTTTGCTTTCTGTTTTTCCTTTCAGCAGGCTATGTGTTGTGCCATTTTTTAAGGAAGTAACGTAGTTTCTAAGTCACAAGACAGAACACATCAGTTACAGCTGTTCAGAGTCAGGAACATGATGAGGATTTGTTTGTATTTTGTTAGGGGAGCTTTTTTGTACAGACTTGTATACAAAATACTAGTGCATTATAGCTCTTTGATCATTAGGTGCAGATGTTTCAATTGTCCTAACATTGGCCAGGTTACCTTAACTTTGTTAGTGCAAGGCCTTACTGTTTCTTCTGTGGATTTTTTTTGTCCAGCAGTTCTGGTGGTGATGAACTTGGGCCAAACTTATTCAGCTGGTCTGTATTATCCTGTTGCCAGTAACCCAAAGACCAGCTGAGAACCCTTGTGACAGGTCAGGCTGACATGTAAATGTTGTAAAGGAGAAAAGTACAGCCAGAGTAAGCCACTGAGATAATCTTCTGACTTTGAGATGCAGCAGCAGTTTTTTTTGTTCGAGTGCAGTAGCACTTCTTAGGGACAGTGATGTTCCTAGGAGCATGCACAATGTGAATTTTTAACCTACCTGTAGTGGTCTACTGGTCAGGAACCATACTGAACATGAGCTGAACTAAAGCGGATGTTCCAGCAGCAGTTGATATAATAATCTGATGCAGTTTGGCAATGTCTCGTCCTTAAAGTGACAACATGATCATAATGTCACTAGCCTGTAGTCTCCGACAGCCTTACACACAGTCAGATGTGTGTTGTCCCCCAGTGCTTCTGTGTTCCTGATACCTGAGATTATCAAAGTGCCATGCTCCCACACGGTAAATTCTGCATGTCCAGACTCTTATTTACAGCACATGCAGTTTATCTTGTTTTCAGAAAGTACAAAACTTGAATTGCTTTCCACATGTCACAGAGTAAGAACATAGTTTAAAAAAAACCCCACAAACATAATGGAAGACATTTTCATTTTTTGCAATCACTAGAAATGGAATAGCAGATTATACATGGGAATAAGGCTAGACTGAAGATGAGGCGTTCAAATGTAGCAGTAATGCACCGGTAGAAGGAGAACAGATGAGCTGAGTTTTTTCTCTCCTGGCAGGTCACCTACATCAGATCTCAACATGGCATTGCATGAGTGTATGGCAGCTCTGGATTTATTTCTTAACAACAAGTTCTCGGATGCTTTGGCTTCTTTACAAGCAAAGTAAGTTGATTACTTTTACTAGTTTTCCTCTGTTTATTTTTCTTTGCTTCACCATCTCTCAGGAGAATTGACTAGACAGCTAGTACTCTGTTAATAGTTGATAAGACTGCATGGTTCTCATTCAGAAGGGGGTGGTAAGTTAACTTAAGTTTTGGGGAAGACAGAATAAGTGCTTTATACTTGGGCAAGTAAGTAACAAGATTCATCAAAGGTAATTACAAAAAGTACAGAACTGGTGTCCAAAGAAGTAATCCTTCAGCTGTAGTACAGTATGTGAGATTCTTGCTCCTGGAAGAATAAAAACCAACTTCTGTCACTTTTTTTTTTTCCTCCTTTCGCATATTTTTCTGCATACTGTAAGAATTTGAGAATTTATAGTTTTGAGTCTAAATGAGCAACTGACCACGAATTGCCAGGTTTGGGACACATTACTTTAGGTATGATTTCTTTTTTTGTTTGTTTTTTAATAACCACTTGCATAAACTTTCTCACAGCTTATTTTGCAATTCAGTGTTGTGGTCATGCACTCAGTTTCCTAATTACATTGTAGCCCAGCATGTAATCAGTGGTCCAGCTGCAAGTGGTGAGGTCATAAAATAGCTTCTAAAAATTGTTGTGTCTTTACCATGTCTGTGATTTTTCATACCTTGTCCTGAAGTTACCTGTCCTCTTGGCTTGTTGAAGTCTGTGGTTAATTCACATTTTTTTCCTCCAATTCGTTCCATTTATTTTTAAGCCATCAGCAAATTACATCATGCCTTCTTTCAGGCCACTGGAATATTAAACAAGTAAAATTCATAGGTAATGCAGTAGCGTGTGTTTGATATGCATTGGGGTAACTATAGTGAATACTGCACATATAGTGAATACTTTGCTGAGGTATCAGCTTCAGTCTTCGATGCTTAAGAATCCGTAGCTTAACCATATAAGTACACTCTGTAAAAGACAGAGTGAAAGACAGTCATGATAAATTGTAGGCTGAGATGTATATTAATAATACTGGGTTTATTCACAGCGGTGTCGTTTTGTGTTTATATATCATCAGAAGATACCATAAAAATGGTAAGAAGAATAAACTGTGTTTTCATTAAATTCTGACAGTAAAGCCCCTGTGCCCATCTGGAAATGCTTACTTAGTGCTTAGCATAAAATAGGGAGATATTTTATTGAAGGGGGTTTCCAAAACATTGCAAAAGCTAATGAGGCTGTGGGGGTTTCTTTTCTGTAAATCCATTTTTCTTCTAGTGCATATGGTTTTCATTCAGCTTTTGTTGGGCCCTGCAGAATATATTTCATGAGCTGATACTCTGTTTTTGTACCTGACTGTATTCCACACTGCAAAACCATTTTGAAACTGATTTTTCATGTCAGCCTGTTGTTATAAGGAGGCCCTTATTCCTGTTGCCTTTGGCAGTGAGGGAAATACAGACTTATGATCTTTGCAAGTGTAATGCAGAAACAGGATGCTACATTTCCCCACAGATGATATCCATTATGGACACACTCCATCTCTTTAGGGAATGACAAGAGCTGTAAAGTGGGCACATGTGGTAATACTGAGTATTTTCTTTAGGAGTCATCAGTTCCTCACTAATGCCTTTTAGCGTGCTGAGATTTGAAATTGGTTTTCGCAGTCCATAAACATACTATCTTTGTTTAAAGAAATACTTTCCCATTTTTACATGCTTGTAAAGAATTTCGTATCATAGGTTTTGCAGCTTTACCACCTATGTTGTAGGACATACTTTGCTCTGTATTACATTATTGCAGATTCACTAAATTACTCACATTTAGCTTCCACAATAAGTGTATTTTCAACCGATTTTTACCATGTGTAACTGAGAGCAGATTTGGCAATCTATGAGAGTTAAAATCACAAGATCTTTCTGAGCAGCTTAAAAATAAATATCTGAGGATGGTGTCTAGACTTGTGTTGAGGTAAAGCTCTTTTTTTCCTGTTAGAAAAGCAAATTCATCATAAAGAAGAGATCTCGTTTCATAAAAAAAATTCATCTGGCATTTTTGCTTCATGTTACATAACTTTTCTTGTTTCCTCAGCTACCTTTTAAGTTTTAGAGTCAGTTTTCTTTATTATCATTAACAAACATTGTACAGTAGTGGGCCCCAATTATCTTGTGGTTTCTGCAGTAAGTTTAATTAAATTAATCTTTTATATGGAGTATTCACACTAAATCTAAGAACTCTTAAGAAATTCCTTAAATTCAGTCATCAAATGCAGCAGTGATTTTCAATATGTAACCTGTTAACTGTGACACTGAAACTGTTTAGTCACTGAAGTGGGGAAAAAATCTCATTTTCCTCCTCAACCCCGGGATACATATGGTAAATCGATATTAAAAGATTTTAGTCCTCGTGTAATTGCAAACAGATAAATTAAAGGGGTGATTCTGGTGAGATGTCCCCTTTCCTTCCCCAAGACAAGTGTTTAATACTTTAAGAATTGTCCCAAAGGAAAGCATGACATAATCACCTGATAGTTTGCTGATGTCAAATCACTTGGGAGAATGGTAAATAATAAAGACAAATTCATGACACAGAGTAATCTGGATCATTGGATGAGCTGCAACACATCTGTGTTGCTGCTTGCAGTATTATAAGAACAATATGAGAATGATTCATTCTGGGCAGTTGACTTTGTTCTGAAAACAGTCTCCAAAAAGCACTTGGTGGTGTTTGGTGGAATGTTCATTCTAGAATGACTGTGTTTGAAAGGTAAGTTCAATCCTTTGATGTGGGAGTATCTCAGGTAGGTGTGAAGAGATTGTGTTACTGCTCCGCTACTTACTTGTGAAACTCTTATTGGAATAGTGTAGTTCTGTGGTACCTATTTACTATCACTGGAATTTTTAATATAAATCCAATTTACAATAATAAATGTTATCTTGTATATTCTCATCTTTAAAAAGTTTAAAGAGGTTACTAAGGAATGGAAGCCTTTTGTGATGGCTGTCTTCATGGTGTGGTGAAATGTTCTTGCCCTTGTAGAACAAAAGCAAACATGAGGTTGTTCAGTGGAGTGGAGGAGCTTTCTCTGGGAACTGATCTGACAAAGAAGGTGTGTGATTGTCAAACTGAGAGCAGTGAAAGGGTAAGGAGAAGCACATGGAGGTAGAGTGAAGCTCTAGACAGTGTTTGGATAAAGATGGTGTACAGCTCTGCAGAAAGCTTGAGTCAGCTATTTATGGTAAAGAATTTCAAGAACATGAAGGTCATTATTTCTAGGGTTTTTTTATCTTTTTATGCCTGGAGTCCAGAAGAACACAACTTTTGTAGTATTTGTAAATAAATACATTGCTGCCAAAACATGACTTAATTGTTGGTTTCACCTCTCAGCTGAAAGAACTTACTAGATTCCAAATGTTGGAGGATGACTTAGATCAAAAAGGCTCAGTGGCACTCTCAAACCGCAGCTTTCTGGCTTAGACCAGACTTAGACCATTCTGGCGGCTTGTGGTAACTAGGGAGCCAGGCTGGTGGCTGATGAGAATGGTCCTTCCTAGTTGTAAACTTAATGCTAGTGGGGAGTTTTCGTAGGAAATAGGTTTTTATTGGAAAATGTCGATTCATCAAAACAGAGAGTTTCTACAGAAGCCCACGCAGTAAGTCTAGCGGGTTGTTTGGACACTGGGTGGAACTTCTGATCAAAGATGAGGAAAGCGTTCGGGCCCCGTGTGACCGCATTCTCCTGATGCAGTTTTGATTTGGGCCTTGATCTCTCACTCTTGGGTACACCTGGATGAACGGACTGTTGGCTGGTCTGTGGAGGGTCTTTCTCATTCTGTGCTGTTGGATTTGTTTTAAAAGCATCTTGATATAAATCAGGGCATGGACTTGAACCTGGGGTTTCTGTAAGCTGGTGATACATGTCCTGCCTGCTGGATTATTGTAAAAGGATCCACAAAAAGATTTTGGGCACTGTGTTTTCCACAAAAAATACTAGCCCCTGGGTTAATTCTGAGGTCAAAACAAGCCAAGCTTTTTGATTTTCATACTTCAGCTGGAGGGAAGAGCTGTCACCATCCTCACTTAGGTACGTGTTTTCAAGCAGGAAGGAAAGTGTTCTCCAACAGTTCTTAAGAAAGGGCAATGCTACAAGATGATAATGATTGCGCCGTAGTTGGAGAACAGGCATGTGGCATAACTCCATAAGTGCCTAAAGATATTACTTATAATCCCCTTATTCAGCCATGTGATACCAACTACTGGGATAAGACATTAATCAGAATATTAGTTGTATTTATGTCATAAAGGCTTGTTAACTCCAACAATGTCCTGGGGAAAGTGCTGCTGAGGAATCAAAAGAAGAAAAAAAAAAAGCTATCAAGTTTCATTCGGGATTCATCCATGTAAAATGCAGGCCTTGGATGTAACTGGCAACTTTAATTGTATGGTTAGTATAAATAGCTTAAATAACTGTTACATTTGGTTGCATTTCTACCCACCTCCCAGCCACTGAAAAAAAAAGAGTAAATTTGAGTGTTGATAAATACCAGTGGACTAATGATAAACATTAATTATTATATCCTTTAAATATTAGAAGCAAAATAGATGAAACCATTGATTAGGGGAGGAGTCATTTGGTATCAGAAGCAAATTACTGGAGAGGGAAATCCCTCTTCACCATGTGTACATGAAAAGTACCGATTTTCCTTTTAGGGCAGTGAATTTAATATTTATCTGCTTTGATTTTGAAAGCAAATTTCTAAAATTTTGGAAGGGGACTATTCTGGTGCCTTCCCTATGCTTTGAATTTGAACCTTTGGAAGGGCTTTATTTTAATAAATATGAGATGAAGTATGTTTCTCTGCACCCACTGAGGCTGATGATTAATCAGATGAACAGAAACACTTCATCAGGCTGACATTTTCTAGTATGTTCATTTTTTTTCTACTTGGCATTATCAGTTGTGATGCAGGAGGCCAAGACAGAGCTGTCCTGACTCCACTGGATTTTAAACTCATTTCTCCATTATCTGTCTGTTCTTCTTACTCATGTTGGAGATGAGATGGATGTTAGCATAGTCTGGGGCTCATAGTACTTTGGCAATAGGTGATTTCCCAAAATGGCTTTTATACTAGGTTGGTTTAGAGGTTGGTTAGAGCAGCTTTTTAGGTAATCACGATGTGAGAGCAGCTAGGAATTAAGGACAGTCACAAAACACAGACTGCAGTGGGGTTTAAAGATGTACACTGCAAATTTCTTCAGTACAGCTGGCCTGCTCTCTGCCGTATGTATTGGAAGAAGTAGCCCTTTGTTGTCATTGTGAAGGTTGGCAAGGGAAGCACCAGATATCTGTGTAATGGCGTCTGTGCCAGCGCTAGGTATTATTTGAATCCCTAGGTCGCAAAAACTATATATACAAAGAAAATTAGGATCATATCATCGCTTGGATTTTTCTTTGGTGATTTTATTGCATAATGTCATTGAAAGGGGGTTACCTTAGGTGTAGGCAAGGTTATTTTTTGGCTCTGGAAAACACTAACCAAACATCAGGGACTCCTGAGGATACTTAAGAGTGATATATTCCATCAAGCAAAAGAATTATTGCATAATAAGGTATTAGAAGACTTAAAGGGAACCAGGTCACCGCAGTGAGTTATTAGATCATTGATTAATGTAGATTGTCTTAAATTATCCTTAATTTCATCTTTCAATTCAATCCAGGTATCAAAACCTGGGGAGACAAGTGTATTTCCAGGGGAGAAATTGATGGGGGTGTCTTTAAAGTTTGGCTTTTCCCCTTAAAACAAAACCACTGAATCAGAGTGGTTGAGGTTGGAAGGGACTTCTGGAGGTCACCTGCTCAAGCAGGACCACCTAGACGTGGTTGCCCAGGGCCGTGTCCAGACAGCTTTTGAATATCTCCAACAATACAGACTCTACAAGCCCTCTGGACAACCTGTGGCAGTGCTTCGTCACCCTGATAGTAAAAAACTGTTTCCTGATGTTCAGACAGAGCCTCCTGTGTTTCAGTTTGTGCCTGTTGCCTCTGGTCCTGTCACTAGGCACCAATGAAAAGAGCCTGGCTTCGTCCCCCTCAGGTATTTCTATACATTATAGGAACCCCCTGAGCTTTCTCTTCTCCAGGCAGAACAGTCCCAGCTCTCTCAGCCTTTCCTCATAGCAGAGATGTTCTAGTCCCTTAATCATCCTCATCGCTCTTCATTGGACTTTCTCGAGTATGTCCGTGTACTGAGGAGCCCAGAACTGGACACAGTACTCCAGGTGTGGCCTCACCAGTGCTGAGCAGAGGGGAAGGATCACCTCCCTCGACCTGCTGGCAGCAACACTCCTAATGCATCCCAAGATACCATTAGCCCTATTTGCGGCAATGGCACATTGCTGGCACACCACTTTCTCCTTGATAGAAGAAGAACATGAAGAGGCTCGTTTTGAGAAACAAACACCTGAAGTACACGTATTGAGAATAGGTGTACTGAGGGTGGAGATTTTATTGAAAGGATATCCTTGTTTGACTGCAAGTATTTTTGAATATTCTCTGCCATATAGAACTACCTGATCCATTCTAAAAGTGTAAACAATTGAAATAGCAATTGTTGCTCTTTTGCAGTATTTGTCTAAGTCATGCTGTTTGTCAGGGGTGGATTAGCAAGGTTGACAGAGAGTTTCTGTGGCAGGAATTCATCTGAGCTTGCCCGTCAACATATTTCCCAAGTCATCTTTATTGGACCTCTAGGCCTGAAGATGTTTTGATTTATTTGCAGAGGATTATACCATACATAGGTACTGGCTGAATGCTGTAAATGTGTGCAGTATATAAACCCTTCTTCCTGCCAGAGGAAAGATGCTGGCAATGGCTGCAGGTAGGAGTTAATTGTTTTCCTTGCACTAATGCCAAAGTTTTTGGCTTTCTGCAAAAGAGGCACCATCCGAAATCCTGCAGAAGAATATTTAAGTTGAACAAATTGTGGTGGAAGGTTGACAGAAAGGGAGAGGAGGAAAAAGCTGTAGTGTTTGGTGTAAACTGGAATGCTTCTGGTGGGAAGCTCTGTTTGAAGAAGATTCTACTTTGGCCGTGGTTATAGTATTGTGTTACTTGTCTCCTTGAGTCTGTCCTGAGTAACTGTCCCAAAATAGAAGAAGAATATCTGGATTTGTTTCATGTGTTGTAGTGACACATTAAAAAAACCGCATGATTCTGTGGTCAGCCATGTGAATGGTTAGCCATGTGGTTAATTCCTGTGCTTTGTTATGTATGTTAAATACCTACCCTTGGCTCAGAATTGGAACATCTTAGCACAGTTATTGAAACTGGAGCTCTAGACATGATTTCCTGTTCAAATCTCAGTGTATTAGTGTTTCTTGATTATTTTGCATATCCTTTGTGTTTGATTTCTACTTTATTTAGACGTGGTTCCCATCAGACTGATGAGTTTCTGGAATTGGATTTGTATTTGTTTTTTTAAAAGTAATAATATAATCAAATCATCTTGTGTATCTTGTGTTTTCTTGCAGAACTAAAGATAGTATGTATCATGCACTGACTTATGCCACCATATTGGAAATGCAAGCTATGATGACATTTGATCCTCAGGACATATTGAATGCAGGAAACACGATGAAGGAAGCTCAAGCCACCTGTCAAAAGTAAGTGTGGAGCAATTCAGTCAATAAATAGTCCCTTCATGGGAAAGTTTTGAAAGACATACAGGTTAAAAAAGGAATGTAATTTCATAGAAATTATAGGAAAACTGAGGTTGGAAGGGACATCAAGAGGTCATCTAGTCCAGCCTCCTGCTCAAAGGAGGGTCAGTTATGAGGTCAGACCACATAACTTAGGGTTTTCACCAGTCTAGTCTTGAAAACTTCAGTTTACTGCAGTATCTCATTTTTCTTGTCAATTAGATGTTTGACCTATCTGTAGCCCGGTTCTGCTGTGTCTGGAAGTTATTTACCATTTACAGACACTGCAGAATCTTCCCATTTGGTGATGGTTGTACTGTAGCTATCTGTCTTTGAGTCAACTGTGCTCCCACTTCTGTACACACATGGGCACGTGCACACACACACACACACACACACACACAAAATAAATCAAAAATCAAAAAGCCCCCTTATCCCCTTCCTTTACATGAAGGGTAAAAGGCGGATCCCAGGAGACCGTGTTGACTAAGTTCTGTATGGAATATGCTGAAGTTTGTGTATGTGGTAAAATAACAGAGGGTTGGTGAGCACTAGAGATATGTTACTGACTGTATGGGTGGCCAGCTGAAAGATACCGTTCTCTGTTGTTGATGCTTCATGTTCAGAATGACCAAACTGATTTTTGTGCAGATTTAGGAAGAAATCAACAGTAGCTGATTCTATCAACAACCTTGTGCATAGACAAAGCCTTGAACACTTTACTGAAGGTAACATTTTCTCTGAATGCATAATATTTTTGTCTTTTTTTTGCTGCAATTTGAATTGCGTAGCATTGTTCACCCAATGTGTTTTTGTAGGTTGTGACTTCACTGGCAAAATCTCTGATTTGGCATTTCCAAAATTTCTGGATCAATTGTTTTTGCAATTGCTATGTCACCACATCTAAAATCACTAACTTTTTTTGTTGGTTGCTGATTCAGCATTTTCAAAATTTACTGGGTAACGAGATACCTAGAAAGAAGTAGGGAAATGCCTGGAAAGTGTTCTAGATCCAGGAATTCCTGGAAAGCACCAGAGAAATTCCTGCAAAGTTTCTGTAAGTGTGTGTCGTTACTGTTCGAAGTTGCTTCCGTAGTCTAGAACTGAAACACTGCAGCAAATTTGGAAAAGATTTTTCTCAGTTTGAGCTTTGTGATCTTATTCCTATATTAATGGGCTAAGTGTTTTTTCATTACTTTTTGTCTGATTGATTTGTTTTCTTCCCTCCTCCATATGACACTAGAGGAAATCCATGCAGAAATTTGCTATGCTGAATGTTTACTTCAGAGAGCAGCACTCACGTTCCTCCAGGTATGGATTCCCGCGTGGCTCTTTGGGAGGAAAAAAAGTACACACCATACAGGTTTCTTTTCTTAAAATTACTGAAATGGTAGAAGACCCTAGTTTGACCTAATGGTTAAAGACTCTTTCATCTGGATTAAATCTGGATTTTATCTGGACTACCTGCTGATGAGATAGTAGAATGTTTTGTTATGCCTCATGTTTATCCAAAAATGCCTATCTCAATACACATAACACTGAGTCCCCTATGACGCCCTTCTCTGGTCCCTTTTGGATGTGTGAAATGTAACCGCAGTAAGCACCAATTTTCAAATACTGTGTGTTGGGATATCAGATTAAAAAAAAAAAAAAAAAAAAGTATTGATGGTCATTGAAGCTGTGCTATGCTGGAATGCAAGCGAGATTTTTGTTTCAGTCAGGCTGGTGTTTGCTTTCCCAAGACTGCTTTCTCACTTGTTTGTTCTTGAACAGCTATTATGGTCTGCATAGCTATTAGGCTCCACGCATGCTTTTTGCTAAACGGTGCTGCCTGTCTTTAAAAGAAGGGGAGCTCTCCCTGTTCTTTGAATTTTATCTGTCTGTACTAATGAAGCTTGATTTGTTTGATGGATCAACATTAGCAATACTTATTTGGGCTCCAGCTTGCAATTTAAATTGTTAATCATAGTTGAAATAACTGATTTTTCTTCTTGATTTGGCTTGCTATATGATAGCAGGCCTCTTCACCTATGCAGAGGGGATAATAAAAGTCACATTCACAATGGGCTTCTGCTTCTTGGCGCAGAGATGTTGGTAGAGAATGAAATGCAGGTGGTGATTTTACAGTGTTTGGGAGTTGCCAGATGAGTTCTGATTTATGTTGCTTATGACAGTTTATGAACCGTATAACCTTTTTCAGCAATCTGCCATGCCCCTCTGGTAGAAACTATTGCTTCATAGCAAAACCAGTAGTCAGAGTAGCTTCTTCTGAAGGTTTTTAGAGTGCTGATGATGGTGACTTTATGGTAAGATGATGGACTTTGAAATGGACAAGGTATAGCTACCTATTTCCATATTCCTTTGGGATTCTTTAGGATGAGTAGCCTCTAGCGCTGGGGACAGTTTGGGTGATATCAGAAGCTATGGAAGCAAGGCTTTTCAGAACTTCTCCATTGTGCCTGTGAGAAAGGAGTGGTTTAATGCAGTGTCTCTTGGTTTTAAGCACTATTTTCACAGGTAGCTGTTTTTAAAAATGTTTATAGATACATGAGAGATTTGAGAGCAAGAAAATAATTTCTTGTCCTCTTCTGCATAAAGAATGTCTGTCTATTTGCTTCCTCTTCTATCCTGTGTTTAATTTTTCATGAACACATGAACTGGTTTTAAAAATTAAACAAAGGCACTTCGTTCCAACAACTATTAAAGTGGGTTAGTTTTGATGCTTAATGTAAATGACCAAATCCAGTTGAAAACACATAAAAATTAGTCTCAGGATTTTTCAAGGGCTGGACTATTCTCACATTGGTTATCTCTGTTGTTGGTATCGTGAGTATTCTGAATTTAAACATTTTAAAACCATCTTCTTTCCTCTTTCCATTTTCCATTCAAAGGAAAATATAACTGAACCTTTACCTATGGTTAGGTATGCTGTAACCCCCCCCAGTTGCTGATTAAAAACTGACTTCTGCTACAGAACAAAGAAAAACAGGATCACATTTTTCTGTGGTTATTTTGTTTGCATGTGATTGGGATTCAAGTTTCTGGGGATATATCATCAGGAATTACATGTTCATTATGGTGCATAGTTTCTGTCTTCAGTTATCACTCTTGCTTAAGGATGACTGTAAAGGACACAGGCTAGCGGTGGTGTTGCAGGCTGCAGGAGTAAGCCCCTGCCCTTCAGTTCAGGCCATTAGGCTTCCTATACTAGTTCATAGAAAGCAAATTCTGGAAGAAGTTGAACTGTAACTTTGACTGGATTGAGTTATCTTCCAGGAGGATGGAAAGCTCTTTGAGGCAGTTTCTGTCTCTTTATTTACATATTGATGAGCACATTTGGGCCCTGTTTCCTTAACAATAACAGTAAAACAACCAAATGTTCATCTAATCTATGCTATTTTCTCCACAATGCTTCATGTAGCCTCTTAAAATATCATCACAGAAAAATCATCTGCCAAAACACATGTAGTCTTCCTATCCCAAAGTAATAGCAAATATCAAAACAAACCAGAATGACAGATTACCTACGATGAGTGAGGCAAGAAACTGCCACCAGAAAGTTAACGAGACTAGAGAGTTCTCTCTTTGGGATACAACTGTAAACTAATGGTTCCCCAGATACACTTCGCTGTAAGTTCTCAGTTCATTATAGCTTGTAATGTAACATGTTACCATACTAGTATGGGTCTCATAGGTACTTGAATATTCAGACCAGAAAGAGCATATCCTGTGTAACTTTACTTACCCTGCTCCCTTTTTAGGATGTGAAACTATATTCTGTAGACTCCTGAGGACAAGCGGTTATTTGTATCTGGTGCTGAGCCAGGAAATGTTCAGATCTTAACTGTGCTGAAGGACAAATGAGAGAAAGCTATTTTTTGAAACAGCCACGAATGCATGTACCTTAGGTGCCACTCATTAGCTTAGTCACTGTGTTCATTAATGCAAATTCAGATGGTTCAAAGGTTACAGGGGCTAAACTAATCACAGAAGGCATCAAAATAAAGTGTGTATGTCTGAACACAGTAAAAATATTGTTGTGGTTTAATGCCAGCCAGCAACTAAGCACCACACAGCCGCTCACTGACTCCCCCCTAGTGGGATGGGGGAGAGAATTGGAAAAGTAAAAGTGAGAAAACTCATGGTTTGAGGTAAAGACAGTTTAATACAGAAAGGAAATCCTAAATCCATGTATTGTTTCTCGGAGACTTATATTGTCTGTGTCACAATGGTTATGTTCAAGGCACATGTTCATCTCAAGAAGACAAAAGCTCTTTATAATGCTTATAAATTCATATTGCTAATGTGTTTCCTTTCTAACAGGATGAGAATATGGTTAGCTTCATAAAAGGAGGCATCAAAGTCCGAAACAGTTACCAAACATACAGGTAAGTCAGAGTGATGATATGATTAAGCGTACCCTTTCGGTAAAAAGTGCTGCCTGTTGAATTGTCCTATTCACAAATTAATTACTGTTGTATTTACTGCAGTGTTTATTATGGGCCTCCTGTCTATAGCTTTTCTCAGCTCACACAAATTCCTCCTTTGCATAACAAAGGATATTGATATTATGGTTGATTTGGATTGTAAAGATAGTGGACCCTAACCCTGTTAACTCCCAAGGTTTGCCTACTTCAAATACTATATCCTTGAAATTATGTCAAAAAATAACTGTTCTAAATGTTGTAGTGCTCATTGTGTCTGCTTAGCATAATTTGGAGGTCTCACAGTCATTAGGCATATGAAATGGCATTTCTTTATACTTCTAGCTGCAGCTTTTTGGAACATTCAAAACCAGTAGCTGAAGCACAAGTAACTCCATAATAAATGCATGAAACTAAAACAAAATTAAGAGACAATAAACCGAAGAGCTTGCAATGGAAAGTATAAATGGCTTCAAACAAAGATTAAACAAATTTACAGGAAATAGGTTTACAGGGGCTAGTTAGCATAGTAGAACAGATGCAGTCTCTCCGCATCATGAAGTCCCTGAGCAGTCAATTCCTGGAGGATGCTTTTCCAAGCATATGCCACTGTCTGAGTGAAATATTTGGTTAGCTGGACTTGCAATCTGGTTAAGTACGGCAGTTGTTCTACTCTAAAGAGAAGGTGCATGCCATTGAAAATGATAAGCAAGGATGCTTATGTGAACTCACAATATGCACATTACTTAGTGTCTATAAGCCAAAAACATCTGCTTAAGCAGATTTCTTTTCATCCAGGAAGTTGTGGAGAGCTACTTTCAATGCATGCAAAAGGTTTTGAAGTGCAGTAGTAAATTCTAAAAATTACATTAAAATGTACACCATGGGAAGCATACTCAGTTGTGCCTCAATAAATTAAGATCAGCTCTAGTTTATGTAAAAACAAAGTGTTATAAATCTAGTAGCTCTTAGGTGGTCGTCTTCAAAAGAATGCTAATAACAACTTGCATATTACTAAAACATGTATTTTAACAAAGGGAAAGTTTGTTTGTGAGATTGGCAGTTACGATTTTTGTACTGTACCTTTGATGTGGGAAGAAATAATTGCAGTTTTGCTGAGAGCGTGGTGCAACAGGTTACAGAGAAAACAATGAAATATGGAAATGAGACTTTATTTGCTTTGATTATCAATATTTTTTACAACATAGTTTCTGATATAAAAAGCTATCTTTTCTTTCCCTGCTGTCAGCAGTACTGCTTGATAATCGCAACAACAGCAACTCTGAAAAGACAGGAGGAGTAAATGTTGCAAAGATACAATTTTTAAAACTCTCTTTCAGGGAGGAAAGGTTACCATGCACTGTAAAAAAGATGGAATGAAATAAAACAACAATTCAGAATGAAACATTTGCTTATTGTCAGTGAATAAAAAGTATCAGGAAACGTTCACGGTAGTACAGACTTATATGAATAATTTTAAAAAGTGAAAGCTAAATATGCATCATATTTTTGTTTTATTTTAGAACTTTAATTTTGGACTCAGAACAGCCACAAAAAGTCACGTGTCTAGCAGACACAAAACAGCATCCAGCCCATATTCTCCAGAAGTATACTGAAAGGGAGAGAGATGACAGTGTCCATATTTGTGTGGGTTGAGGGCGACTCTAAATGCATGTCCATTGTAAAGACTGCAATTACAATGAGTAGTCCTATATCTGTTGGCAGCAACCAGCACATGACAGCCTGAACACAGATGTGTGGCTGCCATTAAAACAGTGTTTTTCTTCTCCCAGTAATTAACAAAATAAACTAAAACAATAGTGTGAAAAACACATAGCTATAGAAAGCTTGGACACAAAACAGGTTCAAATCCAGCTGGATTACACAGGGAAATAAAGAACACTACAAAGTTGAGGTCTATGAAAGTTAGAAAAACAAGTGAAAAGTAATTTCTGATATACCTGCCCATTTTAAAATATTTCTTACAATTGTCTGTTCCTATATATAACAAAATGTTCTTTTGAATGAACATGCACGAAAAAGGAATATCTAATCCAGGGATTAGTGAAACTCAAATCAAATTTGCTAACTTAAATTTGCTAATTAAAATGTAACTCTCCTGCACTGCCCCATCATCTCTTTTTGCAGTAGTAAAGGTTGGTGTTGCTCCCAACAGACATTCTGGAAACATTTTCAGGCAGAAATGTGGTTGCAAACTGTCTACGTCTATTTGACAGGAATTCATCTCCATGACTCCATATTTTTGAATTGATAGTAATGTGACAGAAATGATTTGTTGATAAATCCAACAAAATGTTGTAGGTGGTGTTCACCTGGGTGAGATGACAAATTGACCTTTTTTGTACTATGTAGTTCAAGGTAATTGGGTTGCTTGCTTATTGAATTGTAATTAATCATTTTATTTGCTGACAATGTAACAGAATCTTGTGCATTTTCAGGGAGCTGGACAGTCTCATACAGTCTCCGCATTATGTCAAAGGAGAGAACCATCTTCATTTTGAGGGAGGTGTAAAACTTGGAGTTGGAGCATTTAATCTGGTATGTACCAACAGTTCTTCTCTTGAGCTGAAGTCCTACAACCTCCTGAAAATGTTCTTAACTTAAATATCTGAGAAGTTCCACTGACATCAGTGTTACTAATCATACGGTTAAAATTAGGTATGCGCGCTGACACTTGCAGGATCCTAGTCTCTGGTCTAAGAACATCGGATACTAATGCCCTTTAGAAATTAAGAGACTACTACCCACAACGTGGATAATACTGCTCAGTGTGTGCAGACCCACTTGCTCATCCTCATGGGGAAATTGTTAACTGAGAAATTATCTCATCTGACATGGGCTAAGGGCATGTTATTTGAGAATATAGCTGAGTGCCTGTGCCCAGCTTCCAGTAAGGGTGTTCATTAGCCAGGTGACCGATGCTGGGGAGGCATTTGGAGGGGAAGATGTTACAGTCTCGTGAGAAGGGACCCACTGGGCTGGGGGCCAGGAGAAGCCTTGCACAAAAGCAGCAGTTTCTTGTGCTTGTTGACTTCTATTTACTATTTAAATGGCACTTGGGAAGCAACCAGGGACTTCAACCAGGGAATTGGCTGTTAGCAGGGCAGTTGGTGGGGCAGGGTGCGTGAATGGGGCCTTGGGTGCTGTTCGGGCCACTGTTGGCTGTTGTTACTTGTGTTCTGGTCAGAAAGCAGGTAGTCAAATAGTGCAGGATGGTTCCTGGTATGTCAGAGGTGTTGACCCAGAGATGGTGAGGGGTGACATGGTTGTTCAGATGATGGGCTGCAGAAAGTGCCTGGTGCTTCCCCTTGCTTGCATTACTTTGAGTCTAGCACATGCCCAACTGTTAGATTTACTGCACAAAGAACAAATATGTACTATGCACCCAGTATTTCTGAAACATCCAAGAAGTGCTAGAGTTACTAAGCATGTGCTATGTAAACATATTTCTATGCAGGGAATCCTGGAGACACAGGGTCCCTGTATTAAACAGATATTTCTGTTTAAATCATATGTAAAATACAGCAGGTGTATACATTTAGCCATAAACATATAAAGATGTTTTTAGTAATTTTAGTGATTATTTCTTGTGTTTGGAAAAGTTGTAGGAGGCAGCTGGTAGCTGAGAGGCACAAAGTCTATTACTGCAAAACTGTTGCATTTCTTTCTATAGACATTGTCCATGTTTCCTGCACGGATTCTGAGATTACTGGAGTTTGTTGGATTTTCTGGAAACAAGGTAAATGTGAACTAAATATTATTGGTACATCCCCCTCACTCTTAAATTAAAAAATGGAGACGGGAGTTTCTCTCTTCCTCACATTAGCTGTAACCCTCTGAAACACTCTGATATCACACGCACGCTGTTGGCACTGATGCTTTCGTGCAGCTCAGTTTTCCTTTATGTTTTTGTCTGAACTATTACACTTCAAAGATTGTGATACTATTGTTCAATGATGATACAGTTGTGAAATATGATAAAGACAATGGCTAATGCAATTATGTTAACATATTTAGGTTTTTAGTTGCTGGTCTTTTTGATGTATGCTTGTGCTTAGAAATCCGTAGCCAAAAGTGTATTCTTAGCCTTTAATATATTAGCTTACTTGATAGTTACTGTCATGGTATCTGAATGTCCCTGACAGGTTCCTGCATGACATCCAGTTGGGAAAAAAAAAATTCAATTTCATTTCTGATTTCTTTTCTCTGTGTCTTTAAGAGCAACTGATAACTTGAGTGTGGCACTTAAATTCTCTTTACCTAAAAGAGTAAGTGCTTTTTTGCCTAGAGAGTAACCAGTCTGACCTGTGTTGTTTGTGCATGCAGTTTAAGGACAGAAGTTTAGTAATGAAGCACCAGTAAACTCGCATGAACCTGAGTTATTCTGCAGGGCAGATGCACAGAAAGTGCTGTGTTAGTTTTTTGTGGATTTGTTGTTTCACAGTAGGATACTAAATTGATGGGAATATCTTGGCCTTGATACCTTGTACCTGCCCTTGTCTCTCATTCAACCAGCAGAACATGAGATTCACTCAAAGTTGGGTTCCTGGATTAAGAAAACATGGTCCGTTTAGCCTAAACCACTAGTCACATTTATTTCATAAATGCTGGGTAAGGTAAATGTTTGATGTCCTGCAAACACAACAAAAGCTGTATAAACAAGTTAAAACTTAACTCTTTTGTAATGCTTTCTATTTACAAAACAAGTTTCAAGGAGAAAAAATGTTTCCTTAATCAGAGCTGCAACCTTACACGACAGGTGGATGAGTGTCATCACCATTTTATTAGTTTGCAGGAAGGATCTTAGATCTGAAAATAAAATGTCTTGTTTAAAAGCAAGGAGCTTTTGGCAGAGCAAGGATTAGAACTTGGAAATTTCCAGGAGCTGACCAGGAGCTCTTTCACAAGCAGTAGAGGCAAAAATCAAATAGTTCTACCTGTCAGTTATGACAACAAAGAGCATCTAAAGCAAAATATTCTCCTAGAAATGTAAGAGCAATTCACCTACCAGCAGAGTTCTGAGAATACTTTGCTGAACACTCATCTTATTACTGCAGATGAAAATTGTCCCTCTAATTGAATTTCTGTTTTTTTCTTTTGGCCCTGGGATTTCTTGTATGGCTATGAGTAGGCTGATATTTGTGTTGATGAGTCAGCTCCTGTTCCAGTTTTTTAATAACTCACCTGAAGCATGACCTAGATAACCGTAAATTTAAGCAAAAAGCTGTTGTCTGCACACCATAAAAAAAGAGTATTTTAAACATGTTGATCAAAGTTCATTGACGGTCATTTGTTTTAACATCCTAAAAAAGTCTTTCTGCATTTAACATTTGTGAGTCAGACACCTAAAACCAAAAGCAAAATTGCAATTGCATTCGCAATCCTTTCCAGTGGTGGTTTTCCAAAGCTTGCAAGAGGAAGCTGTCCCCTGCAGTACAGACAAGAATCTGGAAGGTGAAAGAAACAGTGACAGAGGAGGAGAGGGAAAGTTTGTGTGTCATGTGCTACATCCCATCCGGAAGAAAGTTTTGAATACATTCCATTAAATGCTCATGGTGAGCATCAGACTGTGCAAAAGACAAAAGAGCCGTGGTTAATGCCTTGAGCTGTTTACAGTTTACCTGAGAGAGCTACAGTGCACTGGAGGACAGCTTGCTTTTGGTGTGGGTCATGTGTTTATTAAAACTGGATATAAAATTGCATTGCGATATCTTCCACAATACTAATCTGCCTTGAAGCCAGCAGATTTGGCCCTAGGGACTCTTCTCGTCTCTCAGACATGTCATGTCTGATAGTAAATGAGGACATGCCCAAAGCAGCATTACTTCCTAAGCCATTTGTGGGCACTGTGGACAACGCGATCAACTTAACAGCAGTCTGGAGTCTCAAAATAATAGGTAGGATAAGATCAAGAAAGTGTAAAAGTAGCCTGAGGGAACATTTGTTCCCTTCCACTCCAAGATGTGCCAGTTGTGCCCTTCTCACTGTTCAAGCTCCTTTCCCCTGTATCATTAGTCAAAATACGGGCTTACTTGTATTTAATGGCATAGGCCCTGCATTTGAGCATTGAGGTCCAATGCAGTTTTGCCCAATTTCGTGAGAAATTTTTTGTGGGCAGAGGTATGTCTTGCACACCGTCAGGTACGCTGTGCTGGAGAGGCATGCCTTCCTCACTCCCTGGGCCGTAGTTGGAGTATGTGTCCCATCTGGACTTTTTGTGTTTAATGATAACTAACTTCTGGTGCGAGATCAGAAGAGTCCTTGCACTAGCTCTCATATAAGCACTGAACCTTTCTTACTGAACCCTCTGTAAGGTCTCAGGCTAGTATTTACTCTTGTTCTTATTTTATAGACAATTACAAATACTGTGCTGCTGAACTGTAGAAAGGTTTGACGTGAGTCCACCATATGTTAAGTGCAATTTGTCAGAGGGTCAGCTGACAGCATGATTTCAGGGGAAGGCAGGAAAACTTTCAGATACAAACAATTTCTTTCAAATTATACTTTTTGATATGGGAGGACATTTTTCCCAAAGCAGCTGAGCTGAAGAATGTTTTTGATGTCTCAATTTGTAATAAATTGAATTCATTTCCCACTAAGCATTTTTTTGATTTGCATTTTGGTCTCTTCTGCAAATTTTAAATGAGGGTTAAATCTAAAATTATTTCATGGAATACATTTAAATGCCCTATCTACCAGTTTAATTAGTCAGTTGTTCATAAAAGCTGTTAGTAGTATCCGTCCTCCTTGCTAAGTCTGCAGTAATGTGATCAGGTCATGGGACATGAACGATGACCTTGCTTTGCTTTCATTGTCAAGATCCCTAATTAAAAGAGAGTGATTTAAAATATCATTCAAGAGCTTTCGTTTCAGGAATTTGTGTTGATGAGATGGATTTTAATCAGTGACAGCTGAAATAAATATGAACCAGTCTCAGTGTTGTCCGATAATGGTTTTGAGCATTGTCCTTGTTTGTCCTGCATTCACTGTGGGAATCCCCACTGCTCATGTGGGGAGTCCTGAATGAGAGAGAGTTGGATGTCTTGGAACAAGGATCAAATCAATGAGATACTGACATGATGTAGTGACAGTCTCGGGAATTAAGAGATTGCGGGATGTTACAAGCAACTTGCACAGAAGGGTGAGGGTCGTCATATTGGATCACAGTTGTCTCTAAGAAATGTCATTGCTCCCTGCTCTGCATTATACCTTATGCCCTCCAGAGTAATTTACGTTTTGTGTGGAAACGAAAACTAAATGTGTTAATGTCATTTAAGTATTTTGGAGAAATCACGAGCGCTTACTGCCTTGACATCTGTTTTATATTGTAGCAATATGCCCTATAATAGACTTTGTTTGGAAGCTCATTCCTGGTGTTCTGGGATTGCTCATATTACCTGTGGCATAGGTGTGGGAGATATTAATGGGTTATTTATGGTTAGAAGGTGTGTCCTAACAATTAAATATCATATATTGACTTAGTGACTGGCAGAGTGAGTGTAGTTTGTTTACGGAGTTACTTCTTAGGCTCAAGTAGTAGCTGCTTGTGATTTGATTCTGACATCCACAGCTTGATCCCCAGTGAGGATTACGTGGGTGTAATAGTATTGCCCAACTCATGACACCTCACTTAGCTGATGAGGTTTGCTGGCTAATCTCTGTAGGCTCCTTGTGGAGAAAGAATAGGTGCTTGAAAAGGCGATTCATAATGTCTGACCTATGCTTCTGTGCTGAGTTGTTCCTTGGAGGAGTACCTCTGTCTCTGCCAGGCACAGAGGGAGCCTAGGAGGGCTGGCTGACTGAATGTGGTATCTAAAACGTTTCCCAGTGACACCCTTCATCATCCCACTTTCCTGGGGATCTCATCATAACAGAAGCAGTTTGCAAGAGTTTTTTTGAGAAGCAGCTTTGTTGCAGCCTTTTCTACAAGCAAGCTTTGTAATACTAACAACTACTTCTAGATTTCTTTTTTTCAGCCTGTGTCTACTGATTATATTGTTACTTTAATATAGAAAGTTTGGGGTATTCAAGTGGCAGAGTGAAAAGTAAGCATTCTTTAATACCTGTACTGGACAAAATAGGATTATGGACATATCACAGAGTGAACTAACTTGCTCGGTGAGCTTCCCATACCTGTGCAACTACTCAGTTTAAGAATTTAGGCTCAAGTATGCCAGATTTGCAGCCCTCTTCTGAGGAATGCGCAATGTTCTTAATCCAGTTACTTCACAGTTACTGCTTTCCAGGATGCAGTCCCACATAGGGTGGGTGTGGATTGCGTTCCTTGTCCGTACAGATGATAACTTTGTGTTTGGCTGGATTAAAATACATTTTTGGGACTGAAGTACGTAAGTGAAATCAACTTGACAAATGCTTAAATTATTCTATATGACTGATATAATTTGTTCCTGTATCATTCTTAGTGCTAATCACAAATGTGATCAGCAGCCATTTTATGTGTGTTTTTATGTTATATGGAAAATGTCAAACACTGTAAGGCCTAGTACTGATGTCAGTAAAGGCTCAGTGAAATATCCAGCCTGAAGATTTTTCAATTCAAAAAAACGTACTTTGGAAATCTACTTTGGAATTTTTTTCTGCCAAAATTCATTCCACAGAATGTTTTGTCTTACTTCTACCTTGCAGTGCTGCAGTGCTACTTTTTTTTTAAATCCAAATATTTGTGGTTTTCATCTGGGCAGCTTAAAGAAGCTGAATATATCATATTTTGTTACTTCTCTGTATCAATCAAACTTTTGCTCTCAGCAGAAAATGAAGTTGGCTTTATTTTGCTGAGTGCTTGGTTTCCATTAAGTCATTGATTTTCAGTAATGATTTTACTATCTTTTAATTGCTTCTGAAGTGACATGCAAGTGAATATTTTCATTATTTTGTCCAGGCTAGATGTTATACTAATTGACCTGCAAATACGTGTGTTAATGGTACCTTTCCTTATAGTAGTAATTAATGTAATAAAATATTTTTAAAAACACAAAATAACTGTATTTATGTGAAAACAAAATTAACCACACTAGTTAAGTGAAAAAGTACACGTATGATGAAAATTAGAATATGATTACAGGCTTCAGGGTTTACACAGTAGGTGGTAGAAGTGAGGTAGGGTAACACCCATCTGTTGACAAGGACACACAAAGGATGAAAATCTGTGTTGAGATCATGCTCTGAGTGCTTTCTCTGATACCTTTCGCAGTAGCTCCGATAGACATCCCTCAGGGTCCCTATTTATAGTGTAGCTGGTTTGAAAGGTTGTCCTTATAGTCACATACATCATGTTCCAGTAACTTTCCAATGCAGTCATAAGTGTAAATTTTAAACAGAATTTTCCCCAGCACACAGTGGACACCTTACTGTGCATATTTACTAGTAGGCAGATCTCATGTTTAATATGTTTGTATATTTATAGTCTTGCTGTTGATATAATGGAATCATCCTAGAATGGGCTGCTAAATGCTGTTGCCTCAGGAGCTTGAATCCTTATAGCTGGTTATCCATCATGCTCGCATTGAATATGAACACAGCGTTATACTTGATTGCTTTAGTTCTTCCCAAAGGGAACAGAAATATTTTTCTTTTCATCATATTTTTCCACTGGTGGTAGTGGGCCAACATAATTGCAAAGCTCCTTTTGTTCTTAACATACTTAAAAACATCCTTTTGCCCTGTTATCCTTTGCCCTGCTAGTTGCAGATTTTTTTTCTTGACATCTTTAATTTGCTTATGCAGTGAATAACAACAAACATGGATACACTGTACAATGGCAATATGTGTTATTTGCCTTGCATTTCAAAACTTTGGTTTTTGTTTCTGGAATGCTGTTTAGCAGTACTTGGATGATGGTGATAAGTTGTCTAACATTCTCTTATGTTAACCATGTAATAAATCCCAAGTTGCTGCTCTGTCATCAGATGTTTTCCAGGCTAAGCAGTAACTCCATGAAAAACTGTTAGATAATTTCATATGTGTGTTTTTATCTTTGATTGCTATGTAAGCAATGTATGTCAGTACATTTTGGGAATTTGGTGAGTGAGCAATCTGTAGATGACACTGCAGAAGTTAACAAACTAGCAAGTAGTTTGTTCTTTTCCAATACTTTGTCCTCCTCACCTCTGTTTGCACAGGAGCATGGTCTGCTGCAGCTTCAAGAAGGAGCATCATCATACAGCTTTAGGTCGGTGCTGTGTACCATGCTGTTGCTTTGCTATCATACTTTCATGACCTTTGTGTTAGGTAAGATTGTTTATAATAACTCTTGGATTTGATTAGTTCTTGTGGGACACAGAGGGGAAAAAGATGATTCCATCACCTATTTGTTGGTGAACTGTTTGTTCATGATCAGATTAAATATACCTCATTTGTGGGTGATTTTACAATAGTGCTCATAACTGAAGAGAGTGTCTTAATCTTCACGATGGAGGTTTGCTTAACACATAAGAAGGGAGACGATGGGGACGGCAAAGGAAGTTGTGAGAACTAGATCTGTCTTCAGTAGTCAGGTGCATTATTTGGGAGGTTAAAATAATGTCTGTAAGTGATGAATTCCTGAATACTTTGTTCACGTTTATATGTCATCCCTGACTTTTTTGGGAGGTGATAGCTTCCCGCTGAGATACACTTCCCTGTTATCTCCTGCTAAAGCATTCTACAAAATGTGTTGGGCTGCGCATAAGTGAGTTTTCAAGTCAGTAAGCACAATGTTGTTCAGCTCTTCCTGCTTGCTGGCTTAGTGCAACACCAACGTGTATTTATGCCTTACTTATCAGAGAGTGGAGCTTACATATTGGCCAGATGAGGATGGCTAATCGTACTTTGCATTCCTGTTCTTTTTTCTCTTCTTTTTTTTTTTCTTTTTTCTTTTCTTAATATTTTTATCACTTGCATTTTTATGCATTCTAGGGACAGGAAAGGGAAATGTTGAGGAGGCAGAAAGACTACTTAAGCCTTACTTGGCTCGCTATCCAAAGGTAAAATGAGTCATAATTTAGTTTGGTATGATCATTCAATGTTTTCTTGCCAAATTTAGACTGCATGGTCAGCTTGAAAACTGTTATAGAATACTTGTATTTTTATTATTATTTATTACAGGGAGCCATATTCCTGTTTTTTGCAGGCAGGATAGAAACACTAAAGGGTAATATTGATGCGGTAAGTAGTCTTTTTGCTCTTGGGAAAGTAAGTCTCGAAAGCTTTAGGAAAAACTCCTCCAGGAACAATGTTTCCTTTTTGGCTAATGCTTCCTGTGGCTTTGGCCTATATGTAATTTATAGTTTACGAATTACATAAAATTCATCATTTTGAAAACTATTTTGACTAGCTTTGACCAGCTTGTTTTGCTACCCTTCTCAATTTCTGGTGATAATCTAGTCCACCAGTATTAATGACACAGTTTTCTCATTGTCTTTCCTATCCTGAAGCAAGTTGTGCTTTTAATAACATCCAGTGGTAATCCTTTGCCTTCAGTCTGAGTAGAGAGTCATACAAGACTTGAAAGAATTAGGCAAGTGAAGAATGTGTGTCCAAAATACTCTGAGACAGAGTATCAGCTGGTGTGCAGTGCGGTAGCTCCCTTGAAACCTTGGGAGCTGCAACAATAAATGTCAGCTGAGCATCTGTCCTTTGACTTTCGTTTTCTAATTTCCCTAGACACAAACATTCATTTTGCCTATGCTTAGGACTTAATATAACTTCCAATTATGGGGAGCTCTGTGGCAGGGGTAAACTTGCTAACGCCAGGATGACTGTGGAGCCAAGGATCTCTTGTGTGAAGCCAACAGACGTGATTTTGGGGAATACCGGGCTGTTAATAATTTGGAAGTTGCAGGAGCCATGCTGGCAGATCATGGAGTCCCAGTGTCTATTACAGCACTGGTGTATGTGCATTTACACACGATTAAGGCAGTGTTTGGAAATCTCTGTGTTCAGGCAGTTAATAGATATGAAGAATGTTGCGAGGCTCAGCAATACTGGAAGCAGTTTCATCACATGTGTTACTGGGAACTCATGTGGTGCTTCACCTACAAGCGCCAGTGGAAGATGGCTTTCTTCTATGCAGACCTGCTAAGCAAAGAAAACACTTGGTCAAAGGTAAGTTAACTGGAACAGGAGGGCAGAAGGCCCTGTAGTATCTATTAACTTTCAATCAGATTGAGTTGACTTTTTGTAGCTTTGAAGCTTTTGTAGCTTTGAAGATGAAGATTGTAAAACAAAACCTGGTCTGCTGTGGCTCTTATAGAACAATGTGAATTGCAGACATTCAAATCTGAACAGATTGTGGGCAAACAGAAATCTTTTGGGCCTGACGTAGATGAAGAACAGATTGTTACAGATGTTCTGCTGTGTATTGACTGGTTGTGTCATGAACACATTGCAATTAATGGCGCAAGTTGCCATTTCTTTCATTACATTATGGATATAAGCTCTTTTGGTGATGAGTGAGGCTAGCCATGGTGGTGCCTCCAGGATAATAAATATAATTAGAAGAGGCGCCTTGCCCTGTGTGTCTGAAAGGGAGAAGCTCTTCCATCCAGAACCCTGGTAGCTTTCCTCCCTTCATCTTCCCCTGAGCCCCAGGGGAGTCTGTCAGAAGGGATTAAGTCTGGCTGGGGCAGGTGTGTGGTTAATTGGAGGTTTGTCTCTTCTTAATGTGATCAGACTATGTGTGTGGGGAGGGTATCTCTCTCTGTTTTTTCTACTACACATTGTATGTATTGGCCAAGTGGAACCAAAACCGACATACGGTCCAAGCAGCCAGGTGAGAGCAACTCTCTCAGTGCTCCCACTCGGGTGAAAACTGCGGTATGGCCCCCCTGTGCCCCTGGGGATTCCAGCAACGCGTTCAGCCAGGTGCGTTAGTCTGAATAGCTCCCACAGAACTCCCACAGCCAGGGGTGCATCACCTGGCTAAAAGCTTCAATATCCTGAAATGCTGTAGGATGAATATTAACGTGTATCCTTTTATACTGTGTGTAGAGTTTTATATTATATTGCAGGGGCCTTAGAGAAGCAGAGAAGATGCTTCCTATTAATATGTAATCTACAGTGCAGCGAGATAGTCGCAAACTAGTAACTACATGAGCTAAATGAAAGATGGTCACATATATGCACAGCTTAAAATACTCTAGAAAACTCCTGAAACTTAACGGTTACTGTAGATTCCTTAAAGCAGTACTCAAGAACTCACCAACTGTTATTCTCTACTGTTGTAAGAGTTGTAACATTCTCTGCTGCTTTGCTTTCCTTGGTTGCTGAATGTATGATTGCTCAGGAATCCCTATGAAATCAGTACTTTTCATACTCTGAAATCATGAAACCCTTCAAAAACTTTTTCATGTTCTCTAGAACCTAATATTTGAGGTATGCTACCAAGTTGTGATTGGACACATAGACTATATAGTAGTATTTTTTTTTCTCTGAGCATGACCTTTTCATGAGTTTCCTAGCATTTATTCTTGAGAGTAATAAAAATTCACTTTACATAAACATGACATTTGTTCTTGGAACGTGGACATAAACTATAAAGTGATATGAAATAAACAGAGACAAACATGATAAAAAAAAATTCTATACTCCACTTTCTAAAATACTTACCTCCTGCTTAAAATGTTGTAAGATTACATCTGTCTGTGAGCAAAAGCAGCAAATTCTTCCTCTTTGTTGCTATTTTGTGCTTTATGTCAATAATGGTGATGCTGTAAATTCATTTTTCTGTACAGATATTCTTGATTGCATTTGCAGGCTACTTATATTTACATGAAAGCTGCTTATCTCAGTATGTTTGGACCAGATGACTGCAGTCCTTTTGGAGACAGCGAAGTTGAATTATTTAGGTAAAACTTGCTAACTCCCAGTTACAAGAGTTTCCTATCTTTTCACGGCACGGTGTTGGGGGAAGAGAGACAAAAATTCATTGTGCAGTTTGGAGAATCTGTGCAAGTAACATTGGATTGGTAAGAAATTGCAGAATGAAACATTCCCTTAGACTAAAGTGGACCCTGAGTTCAGACAGCAGATTTCTACTGGCCTGGAAATACTTTAAAGACAGGATATTAGGTCTATCAGCCATACAGTGGCTGCTGCTGTTGCATGTAATATTCACATTCTTTTTCAGTATTTTTCTTTAATCAAAATGGCATGTAAGGTCTGAAAGCCTTCAATGGATTATGCTACAAGACGTGTGCCTCCTTAGCGGACACAACATCAGTACAACTTGATTCTTGGGTTTTGAGTCTGAGAGGAATATGAAGTAGTTAAATGTGCAAGTGAATATATGCATTATTAACACAGTCAATTAACCTAATTGTAATGTTTAAACTCAAAAATGCCTAAACTTCGCTAGGCAAAGAAAATTGATTACTTTGTTTTTTACAATTTTTCTAGAAAATCTAAATATCACTTTTTTATGTGCTTACAATATATTGATACTTTTCAGGTCTTCCGTATCTTTCATAATCATTACAAGCAGATTTCACTGGATATGGGATCCATTACAAAGTGAATCAGTTTGGTCTTTGGGACAATGGGAGGGACACTGACAAAAGCTAGCTTGCCTCTTTCTTAGACTGTGAAGAGAGATGGGCCCTTTATAAGTTAGGTGCATCATCTAGTTTATTCTTTGGGTGGGGAAGAGTCCCTCTTCCTCCTGCTTGATTAAAGTGGAAGCCTAGAGATAACGTGCCCTGCATAAAGACAGCTTTTGTGAATATGTATTGCTCAGCTTCCCTAGAGGTAGCAATATCTCAGTGTGTAACAGCTTTTTTAAGTTCTTTGGTTTGATTTTTTTTTTTTAAGTTTGAATGGTTTTTTCCAGAGGTTTACAGAGGAAAATTTCCTTACATTTGCCTTTAAACTTCCAGGATTGTTCCCAGTTTGAAACTGAAAATTGCAGGGAAATCACTGCCTACAGAAAAGTTTGCAATTCGGAAAGCTCGACGATATCTTTCTTCAAACCCCATTCCTTTGCCTGTTCCACCTTTGGTAAGTTAGAAATACACACACACACCCTTATTACCATTTTTTTAATTTATGGAAATAAAAATGAGATAATTAGAATAGTATCTTTCCATGTTTCTAAGGTAAAACCTCTGCAGGAGACTGGAATGTTCCCAAAGCAAAGCCAAATGAATGCGAGGAATGCTGTAAAACTGGGGCATGCACCAGCCACAGGGAACTAAGCCAGTTGTTTGTGACACGTAAATGTGTTGCATGTGTAACTCATTATTCCAGCTATAGACTAGCATGCTCCTAACAGCTTTCTTTTGATTCCCTTTTGAGGAACTTTGCCCTAGGTCTCTTCTGTCATGTGTCATTTACTGAGACTACCAAAGGAAAACTTTAAGGTACAAGTTAGGGGGGAAAAGAAAATCAAGGAAACAATGCAAGAATCGGAGACTGCATGTAAGCATCTATTTAATGTGCCCCTGAATGTTTGCAATTTGGTGCTCTCCAGAGCAACTCACGGGTGCTGGCATGAAACAGCCAAATTCTTTAGCCACTCCAGAAAACCATTGCATACTGTTGATTTTTTTTTTTTTTTTTTTTTTTTTTGGCCTGTAATGCTGGCCAGTTCCCTGTGGCCAGATGAGAACAGCTGCATAAGGCACCCATTGCCTTGCTCGTGGTACACTTACAAAAATCTGTCTGCAAAGAACACGTAAAAGAACATAAAAGGATTTTGACTCCACAGATTTGCCAAGTGCAGTGGTGTTAACATTTGCAGTGCTTTGAGCTGTTGTGTTCGAGAAGCAGATGGATAATTAGTAAATACTCTTTAAGAAAATGCCTGAACAAGGAGAGCCCCTTGGAGACACCAGAGAGTAGTCGTTTCTCAGCCCACCAGCTGGGTATGTGACACAGTGCTTCTTGAAGAAATAGAGTTTTTACAGTATAGCCTGGGTATTCACTAGAGGCCACTTTCCACTAAGTCATAAGACTGAAATGAGAGAAATAATTAGGTTACTTTGATTTGCCTTTCAGGTTTCAGAGATTATAGAGGGTAAGAAATGTACGCACCTGGGGTTTGGCTGGGCTATTCTAATGGGATTTTAGCAGAACAGGTTTCTGTACTAAGGGCTCTCCTTGGAGTGGCCGGGCACTGTGTCCTTTGTTTCTGCTGCAGTTGCATTTCTGAGGCAGCAGATGCCGCAGCTGAACAGTTAAAAGCACTCTGAGAATGTGGCATTGGGTGCAGAATCTCATCTCTAGGATTTTTCTTTTCACTGTGAAGGGACTTGCTGAGAGGAGCGAGTCCTCAAGCAAGTCTTAGCTCAGAGATTTAGCCTAGAATAAATGTAGTTTGAGTACTTCTGTGTCAAAACCATGTTAACAAATCTGCACTACATACAGTAAGTTCAGCACAGGTTTTCCAATCAACAGAGACCAGATGGTGAAAACAACAGTGTCGGGGGTTAACATACTGTTTCAGCTATTCTAGCCTTACAGCTTTTTGTATTATAGTTCCAGAACTCTGTTATTCTATACAGAAATTTTATCAAAAAGCTTTAAATTATCAAATACAGACTAGGTCATATAAAAAAATAGAATAAATAACTTGTCATGAGGACCCATCGTAAGTCTCTCTAATATTTCTATAATATAATATCTTTAACTTTGTGATTGCTAGTGGCAATGGGCTCATTTGGTCTGGTGATATACTCTAAGAGAGAACCCCAGTAACAAATAGGAATTAAACCAATACTTTTTAATAAAATTTACTCTTAAGAACAGTTGAATAAGAAGGAATTTACTTTCTATGGGAACATCAAACAAACCTGAGGAGTTCAAGGGGTTTACAGTTCAGCTCTAAAATTCGGTTGGTTTGTTTGAAGCCTGACTTAAATGTTAGGGTTTTTGGGTTTGGTTTGGTTTTGTTTTGTTGTCCTGAGATTTCATATTTTTCTGTGGTAGCAATACATTGTAGTTATTTATAGTTACTACTGCCCTGGCTAGGATAGAACTGAAAAACAAAGAGGAGACCTTAATCAAGGGACAGTTAGCCATGTGGCATGTATGTTTTAAGTCTGTCTGTTTTGTTGGTACTTGCCTTCATCTAAAAGTGAGATTGTGTTTCATTCTGTTCAAGCAAACCTCCTTGCATTGTGTGTAGTAAATGGCTCTTTAGTTGTCTTCCAGGGCTAATTTGTTCTGAAAACCAATGTAACAAGTTTTCAGTTGCAATGAAAATACGTTTTGACAAACTGACTTTTTATTTAAGGAATCTGTAACTTTTTCATCATACAGAGATAAACTAAAGTATTTGATAACTGCATTTATCTAGTACTGTAATTAATGATGCTGTCATTTCTCCCTGACCCTAGGAAATGATGTATATCTGGAATGGCTATGCTGTAATTGGAAAATGTCCCAACTTAACAGAAGGCATGTTAGAGACTTTAATTGAAGCAGAAGAAGCATTGGCAAGAAGTTCAGGTAATCAGTGATATGGTTTAAACAGGTATTTCACAGTGCAATACCTAAAGATATCATCTGTGAATAAAGAGAGACACTCATTTGTAAAGTTAATCTGATCATAGGAGGAACATAGATAATGAAACCATAAACTGTTTATGCAGATAGGAATAATATTCCTTTTTAATATAGCAATACTTACAGTAGTAGCAAGTGATTTTCCATCCACAGATGTGTATTAGGAATAGTTTATGACAAGTATTAAAGGACTGTTTATTTTGCTAGATCAAAATCAGCATATGCATTGACTTGATTACTTGGATCATGAAGCTTTGTTATCCTCAGATACTGTATTTCAGTTTTGAAGGATAAATAGAAGGAGACAAGTTGGTCTTCTGTTTTAAAAGTGCTGTCAATTTATGATGTGACCTTGGGCTGAATTGTATTTGTGTGTCAACAGTATGCTATAGAAAGCTGGGACACCAGGGGTGCGCTTCCTTTGCCCTATGAATGAGCATAAGATAGGGGACAATATTGAACTGGAACAGGCTCTGCTACCCCATCTTCTGTCAGTCCATTAATTAGCCATCCATGAGAAAGTTGAATTGATGTTTGTTTCTTGCCAATCTTTCCCAGCTCCTATGGAGTGCAACCAGTCTGCACAGCTTTTCTCACAAAGTTTTCTCTTACTAAATATTTGATATTATTATTATTATACTACCTTCCTGCAAAAGGATCAAGCCCCTATTGACAAAGGAATATGGGCTAAATCGCTGCATTGCAGTCTTTTCTAGGACCTTGGTCTTCCTGTGCACGTTGTGTTACACAAGATTTGAAAGACCGGCTAAAGCTACCTCCTTTTTAGTTAATTGAAAAAGAGAACAGAAAAATATTTTCAGTGAAGGTGACATCTTAGAAGGCTTTTGACCCTTTCACCTTCTTTGTCACCCATTTTGCTACATTATTTTGAATAAGTGAATTATTTCTCTGTTCCCGTTTTTTTCTTAGTTGGTAAACTGTGGATAAGGCTGGCTTTTCACAGGGATTTGTAGAAGCTGATTCATGTTTATAAAACACTATGAGGACATGTAATCGAAAAGTGGGATATATTTTAAACACGCCAACAATTTAAAGTATTACCTGTTTCAAATAGTGACTTGCTGTTTCTAGGTGTCATGCTTTCCTGACAGTTTTTGGGGCTAAACTATTGTATTTTCAAGTATTTTCTCTGTATTACTGTTAGATTCATAATGTAAGAATATAACAGCATAAAATTATGAATCTGAGGATGTGCTCCTAGCAGCGTTATACCATATAAGATGTAAAAGGAAGTCTGTTAGTGGAAGTAACGTCTAGAAATGCAAATCTGATACGCATAATTGTGTCTAGGATAGGTCCCTAAATGTTTGCTTATACAATCCAGGGCAGTTTGTAGGATATAAGTAGAGGAAATACACGCATGTGAACGTGTTCATGTCTCCAGAAGAGACAACTGATCTGCTTTTTTTTAATTATTCTTATGAAATACCTCTTCTGTGGCCCTGAGTCATCTCACTGTGCACATACTTTGTGTATCAACTTTTGCCCTCTTCCCTGTTCCTTGTAAGTTAGTTTGCTGCATAGTCTTCGGGCATCTTCCCTAGGATTTGCTTGGGTGACATATGTATGTAGGGGCCTCTGTGGGACTTAGAAATAGAAGTGACTCCAGTTGTAGGATCAAAGCCTCCAACTGCGTAGTCCAAAGGGGAGCAACTATTTAATGCAGTACGTATCAGCATTCTATCAGCTGGAGTGGTGGAGGAAGAACCAGGTAAGGATTGGAGTAGTGGAAACAGGGTGACATTCGATAGCACAAGATGCGCAGCATCACACATTTTCCAGAAATCCTTACTAGCTAGTATTTCATGAATTGGAAATGAGCAAGCAAGCTGAAGATTTTGCTTGTAAGCTTTAAGACTAAGCTGCCTATATGGAATGGCTGTGAAAAAGCAGATGTTTTCTTTGAAATGTATCATGCAAAAATTTTCTGATGGAGAAAGGTTGTTGTTAGTAATGACTTTGAACTAGGCACTGGTAAGGCTGGTAAGACTCTGGGCACTCAGAAGTATAGAATCAAAAGAGGTGAAAAGAAGGTATGGTAAGAAGATGGGGGCATGTGAGGTGCGGGTAGCAAAGTTTGGCATATTTTTGTTTAGCCAAACAAAGGTGGAGAATTGATAAAACACTTGCGTATGAATAGATCACGTGACTAGAAGTCAAGGAAGGAGAAGAGCTATACCTACTAAAGGGCAATAAAGGCATAAGGTTAAGAGACTATAAATTGGACCTCAATATTTCCAAAGTGGAGTCTTTAAATCAGTTTTTAGGTGTCAGAACAATAAGATTGTGCAATAGCCTTTCAGTGGGAGTAGGGAGGGAAAAAACAGCCCAACAGTTTTTAGGCAAAGTTTGATCGAATTATGAAAAGGTTGATGCGTGTTTGTCTCTGCATTAAATGAACTAAATTGACCAGCTACTTCCTTCTGTCCTGTGTTCCACATATAGTGGATTGTGCTAACGCCTACCTATGTAAAAGCTTTCCTACAGGTAGGAAAGTCCCTGCTGCTCTAGAGTTTTCTAAAATGTGCCATTTACTTCATCTTACAGCTACAGAATTACTAGCAGATGACCAGTGCGTGATAAAACTGTTAAAGGGCTTATGCCTCAAGCATTTGGGCAAGATCTCAGAAGCAGAAGACCATTTTAATTACATCTATTTAAAGTAAGTTTTCATACCTGGCATATAGGGGAGCTCTTGAATTTCTCAGTAACTATTCATTTCAAGTAAGAGGAGATGCAGCTGTGATATGCACAGAAGGGAGAGGACTGCAGTATCTTTAGTATTTATTTCAGTTGCTTTGATATCAAGGAATTACCATTTTAATGGCCAGTGTTGTTAGCCATGTATGGAAGAAGAATTGCAAATCTGCACTTTTTACTGAGATATTTTGTCCTTTTTTGGGGACTATATAGGTGCATAAAATTTTTGAGATACCACTTCCCTTCCCCCCGCCCTTCCTCTTACCACTCATGAAGAAGCTGCACCCAAAAAGCCAAAAGCAGTCTGCAGAGACAGGTGGCAGCATGGGTATACTTGGAACTTTCATACATCATGCAGTGAATGGCATCTCTCTTTGTTAGTTCACATGGATAGAGCTCATAATATTGTTATATATTCTAATACTTCCCTGATAATAAAGGCAATATTTTGTAATCCTGAGAAGTAACATACTGTGTAGGATGGTTATGCAAAATACACATTTAATAACCTGGAAGGTAGCTTTGGATAGAGAACATGACAAGTGTCGTAATAGAGATTGATTGCCCCTTCTGATCTTAGCTAATCTCCTATTTATTTGTGTTTGGAGCTGTTAAATGAGGGAAACAATATATCATTTCAAGATCTTGAGGCTATTTCTTTTCCAATGCAGTGAGAAGAAGATAAAATACGACCATTATCTAATTCCAAATGCCTTGCTGGAGCTGGCGATACTGTATCTAGACCAGGATAGAAGAGAAAAAGCAATAAAACTACTGGAAAGAGCAAAGTAAGCAAGTGAAAAGCTTGTGCTGATGTCTGATGGGTCAGTATGGTATTTTACTGGTTAGCGGGAAGCAGAAACATTTCATTAATATAATGGAAACTCATTGTTTCATTTTTTCAATGGAAGCATGCATGCCATAGTTTTGGTTTGGCCCTTTCTAGTGGTAGACATTATCTGATCGTTCAGTCTGTGACTTACCCATCCATTCTGACAAGAGCAAAAAAAAAAAATTCTAAGATGCTAATATGAATGTAAAAGGCTTCCATAAGAAATAATCCATGTGTAACAAAATGTAATAATTTTTGTAGTCTATTTACTTATTCATAAAAGATATATTAAATTAAATCAAAGCTCTGTGTTACAGCTAAAATAGCATTACTTAAATTGATGGCTAGCGGTGCTGTTTTCTTGATGAAATACATTTAAGATAATGCTCCAGGTTGCATTTAGTATCTTTGTATTGTTTCATCTGCATCTGAAAGGCAACTGAAACGCCTGCTTTTACTATTTTGTGTGATTGATTTTTCTAGCACAGTAGGTTTTTCAGGAATAGTTGGACTTGATCATGATAGTTGGACTTGATCATGTATGTTCTTTATTATAAAATTAACAAAATACAGTTTTTGCTTCTGTCCGAGCCTTTACTACTCTGCTGGGCCAAAATTTCTTGCGGGGGTGGCAGAGAGGGAATCCAAACCAAACAACCCTCGCCCTCATCAAGCATCCTGCAGCAGGGTAGTTCACCTCTCTGCCTGGATCCTGAATGAGTCCAGATGTCTGCATCTTTCCAAGTGCAGAGAGTCACACCAGTCACTGCCGCAGGTGTTAGCAGCTACAAAGTTGATGTCTGGCCCCAAGTTTCAGAGAGGTCAGGTAGAGTTTTTGTGTTGAGCTTTTGTCCAAGACAGTCCACTATGCAAGACAAAGTGGTGAATCAGCCTACCGAAGATTATGCCAAAAGCCTGTCAACACAAAAATTAAAATATTGCAGTTCTTAATCTCCTATGCTTGTGAGCCTGGTTCTCTGTAGACTCATGGAAGATATTAAGAACAGCAAAAATTGCATTAGCAAAACGCAATGGAAAGTGTTTCAGTTGGTTTCACATTCCTCAAAGCATGCCTCTTCTCCTGTCCTCATTTCCTTTGTTCAAATCTCTCTTAAGAAGAGATCTAGAAATTAATCATTCCGAGCTTCTCATTCCGTCTGTTACTTCTGTCGCTTGCTGCTCAGCCGTTGCACTTTTCCTCCGACGGCTCTGTGTGGTTCAGGTCACAGGTCCCCTCGAGGGCTTGAAGAAGAGCACCAGCAGATAGCAGCTCTTAAAAATTTGTTCTTACCCAGTGTATGGAAAGCTAATACTCAGACTTGCTATGCTCAAACAACTCATGGAAACTGTAATGATACGCCAAAAAAAAAAAAACAAACCACAAACACCACAAAAGCCCCCTTTGTTTCAGTCAGTCATAAAAAGAAGTGCAGTCCTTACATTTCCACCTGTAGCTGTTACACTGCATTAAAATGCACAAGGTTTATAAGCTTTCAGCTAAAAATGCTGAATGTCTTTGCAGCCACTAGATGGAGAACGTGTTGTCCGTGGTGGCTTTCAGGACTGCAGAATTATGTTTGCAATTGGCAGGAGTGCAGATGAGCACTCGGCTTGTGCATGACGCTTGATTTGCTTGACCTAAATCCACATACTGCTGCTGGCTTGAATGTTTCACTCTGGGAGAAAGAGTGGAATGAGATGATAAACAGTTTTGGCTTGGTCATGCATGGAAATATTTCTATTTCTATTTGTATTACTGTAAGCTACAAGCAAGAATATCAGCCTACTGATGAGAAATACAGTATCTGCATGACAAAATCTACTTAACTTAAAGAAAAAACTCCAAATAGTTTCAGATCAGCATGTAGCAAACCCAGTCACCTCCTTTTCTCATTTAGCCTCTTGGGTGTTGCATACATAAAATTATAAGCTGGTGTAGGATGGGTGTGGAATTCCTTGTTTTCACAAAGCGACTGCCACTGCTATAGACAAAGGTACCATGCTTCCATGCTTGATTTGAATTACGAATTTTGAACTGAAATGCTTTTAAGGTATACAGACTGTTTAATACTTAACGTTATGTTTCTGTAAAGATGACAAATATCTTCTAAAAGAAAATTAGCGTGGCCTAATCCTCTTTGGTATCTGGATTCTGTATCCATCCTGCAAGAGCTGACATGTTAATTTCTATTAAGTAGGATCTGCACTTTCTGTGTCGTCCTAGGGGCAAAATTTCTTTTTTTATATAAGCTTTTCCATGAAAATACAGATTCTTTTAACATTTCTGTAACTCTTTAGAGTGTGACATAGCTACTGGAGACTATAGGCAGATGCCTCTGCTGAGTCAGCCACTAGATGTTTGTGGGGGAAGTCCTGCCAGTCTTTCCCCGGGCTGGTGAATTGCTCCTCGAAAGCTGATACGGAGTCTCGTGTGTGCCCACTTTCTCTTTCGAAGCTTCTAGGGCAGCAAATTGTCTGGCCTTATTTCCTACACACAGTACACATTGTTGACAACCACAAGATGTTGATGGGGTGTTTCCCTCTTCTGGTTCAGGACAGCCTCTCTCTCTTTCTTTTTCTTTTTTTTTGTCTTTTCTCTACTTCCTTGAAACGTGTCTGCTGAATTAAGATGAGTCCATCTTCTTTTTTTTTGTCTTTTTTCTAATTCCTTGAAATGTGTCTGCTGAATTAAGATGAGTCCATCTTATTAAAATGAAAAAAAGAAAATGTTTGTATTCAATTTTGTCAGTTATACTTTCAGAGGGGAAAAAAAATCTAATTTCTGAATGTAAACGAAGTGGATGCTATAGATATTTAATGTGAACTCAATATTTTGATTGAGTGGAACAGATTCAATTACTTATTAAGCTATATTTTTCTGGTAATTGCCAGACAGTGGAACTACAAATAAAGAACAAAGAGCTGCATTGTTTGCCTAGGACACATGCCTTGTATTTTAGAGTAGGCAACAAAGGAGCTTGTGAAGACAGGCTTTTTTGCTGTCTACAGTTGTTTTGCTTAGAACAATAATATAAGGATAACTTGAAAATGTTTAAAATATATATATTCATCAGAGTGGATCTGCTTTTGTTTCAGACAAAACTACAAGAATTACTCCATGGAAACAAGAACACATTTCAGAATTCAAGCTGCCCTGCACCAAGCCAAATCCGCCCCAGAAAATGGAATGCACTCTGGAGCCTCGGCAGTGTCGTAACTTTTTCTTCTTTGATGTCCTGTTTGTTGCAAACTTTGGTCCAGAAAATTACTGACACTTTAGAATTATTTTTCCTTCTCTTTCAAGGCAGTGAGAAACCAAATCGTTTAAAATTTTAAAGGTGATGCATAAAACATTAATCTAGTGTAATAACATGGCAAAAAAACCTCTCAAACCAACCATAACCCTGAAAAATACTGTTTTTCCAACAGTGGCTTTTTGAATACTTACATCTGTGTAATTCATTTTTCAATCATGTGTGCCTTTTTTCTTGCGTTCGCAACATTTACTAAGGAAGCTACAACATAAAGGGGAACAATTGAAAAAGCAAACAACAAAACTTTAAAGATTCACAGATTTAATCTCAGTTAACTATAAATGTTTATTTGAATTCATACTGCTAGCAGTTGAGAAGGAAGCATCATTTTTTCCAAGTACCTACTTAGCTGAAATGGTGTGAGAAAATCTCGGTGCACAAGAAACGCAGCAGGGAGGAGCTCTGAATCCTGGGCATTTGCAGTTGTGCATAGAAAGCTTGTCTTTACCAGCTTTTACTAGTCATATTTTTGCTTCTATAAGAAACTTGCTGGTGAAAAAAATGGTCTCCCTTATATGCAATTATCTTCACTTTAGTCTGGTTTTCATGTCAAGTCTGCTGCTCGAAGCAGCTGAATGATTTACCAAGGATTTGGTGGGGGCAGGGTGATGACAGTACAAAATTGCATCACTTCTTTGACAAGTTTAAAAATGGGAGGTCCTTAGGAAATAGTTTTTTCATCAGAACGAACATGGTTTGAAGTTTATATCATATTTAAAGCAAAAGTCCTTGAAGGTCCCTTAAGAAACAGCAATATTGCTCTGGCTGGACAGCAATAGAGAGTTACTGTGACAGTCAATTCCTTCTTAAAACAAGTGTTGTTAGGTTTGCCTAACTTGACATGCCCATGTTTTAAAGAGATCGTATTGCCATGTTTCCTGTGTTAAGGAGCTGGGGTTGGAGCAGACTGTCTTGGCACAAAGGCTGCTTTTCACAAAGGAGAGCTCTTTATTGATCTTTTGGGGGAATTTCTGTGTAAGGGGCTTTGAGAACAGAGCAAAGAGCTAGCTCTGCTTTCCAGTGCAGTCTGCCATAGAAGTGCTGTTTTTCTGCAAAACTGGTGAAGTCAGATGTAACACAGATTTGACTCGTATTTACTGTTCTCCAGGCTAGCTCCATGTTTCTATGCCTGTGGTTTTTTGGGGCACACTTCTACCTCCCTTTTGAAAGAGCTTCTTCCCCATGACCCATTCTGATATGTGGAGGTGGGAGGTCTTCTGACAGCTCTTTTTCTCCAATGGAGATGTTTGTCAGGAAGATTTGTATCTATGTACCTCATAGTGAATATTCTTTCTAAAGTGATTGTTCCCAGCAGAAGAGAAAATTGACAGTTTATAGCTCTGCTTTAACCTCCTCTAAGGAAATGGCATTGTTTTATAATTGCAAATTAATATGCAAGGAGACAGAACCACCTGTTCCTCAACACGGAGAAATTGCATTGTCTTAAAAATAGACATCCTTTATAAAAGTCTTCCCAAGTTAAAATTGTAGATGAAGAATGCATTTTTTTTAAAGTTACTTTCTCAGATAAATTCAGTTCAGATAAATTTCTCAATTCAGATAAAATTCAGTATAAAGAGTTATGCTATTTACATATTGCACATCAAAACTTCAGTGTAAAAATTCAGTCATTCTTTGTATAGAATAAAAAAGATTCTTGTTCTATTTCACGCATATAACGCCTCTTCTTCCAGTTGTGTCCTTTTCAAATATTTTGGCAGTCTTAGCGTCTTTTAAGCAAGCAATGCCATGAAAATTAGCATAAATTGTACTTTGCAGAAAGTGAACAATCCTTCCGACTGTAGATTCGTCTCTCAAGGCTTATGAAAGTTCACCCACAGCCAAGTTTCGCCTGATCTTAGATACGTTGCACAAAGGACATACTGTGCAATATGCAGTCAACTTCCCTGATTCTTTGCAGTGATGACAATCCTGAGATTTTCATAGTCATCTTTGGTCGGGCACAAACACCAGCCATATCATGGACCTGATCTCCAGCGTCAGCTGAGGACTTTGACAAAGATTTACAGACTGAAATATTCTGAACTCACTAAAGGAAGATAACACCTTGCTTGCTAAAGGATAAATGGAAGGTCTGGTACATTGTCACTGTATACGTTTTTCAATATGTTACATTTTGAATTGCCCACCATTACTCTTTGTTCATCAATGTACTTCATTTTGATTCTCTTCTGTGGCTAGAGATCAAAAACTCAGTGGTGCCAGTTGGGGCTGGAAGGCTGGGATTGTTTTTCCATTGCTTCTCCGGAAGCTGCTGCATTCTGCCTGAAGCAGCTCTCCAGAATGGTGAATTGCTTCATCAGTGTGGAGTCCCAAGTACAATGAATTAGGGCAAGCACAACTGGTGCAAGTTCTCAAACAGCTTCAGCGTTCCGTATATTCACCTACCAGAAAACAGCACATACTCTAATGGAATCACAAATCAAGGATTTTCAGCATGGCCTAAGATTCAGGAAACGTAATTACTACTTCAGATGGATATAGTCAACCCCTCATTTGTTTCTGAAGCAGCACCTCCTCCTGCTTTCAAACATTGCATTAGCTGACCAATGCTAGTGAAACCCACTCTGTGTACTAGGCTTCAGCCAATGACTGCTGGTATCAACTCTTTGCAGTCCTCAGCAAAGCCAGAGATGTTAACCAAAGGCAAACTACTAACTCACATAAGAGAAAATAGTTTTCTGCACTTGGTAGGACCTTTAGCATAAAACTTACAAACTGTATTTCTTCTTCTATGTATTTTTTTTAGTAGCACTGATACGTGGTTTCCTGCCAGTAGCTGAGGAGGGGTAGAAATTCATGCTCCGTTTCCTGGATGTCTGCAGCAATTGCCATGGTGTCCCATGTGATATCGCTATGCCATCTGAAAGTGGTAGTGGTCAGGAAGGGAAAAGCAGTAAAATGAGCATCACTTCTGTCATTAGATCTGATATGCGGAATCCATGTATGTATGGTCTCTGATTAAACTAAAGGGAGGATATGGGCTGAAAAGCCAGCAGCTTATACTGAGGTCTAACGAGGTGTAACTACATCAGTACCCAGCTCCTATAAATAACACTAGATGAGATAACCTGGTGGATGAAGAACAGTGGGCTGAAGCTGAACCTGGTCGCAGGTTTTCTTGATGATCAGAAGAGATTTTGGTGAAGTCACAAACATGATACAATGACTATTATCTGGAAACACCCACTTACGATTGCTCAACTAAACCAGTAGCGTAGGAACATGCTTTGATTTATTACTGATACGCAGTTCTATTACGATCTACAATTAACGCATTCTGTCACGGATGGTTAGTTTAAAGACTGTCCCATTCTGACAGTGCCTAGCCTCAGGTTGTTTACACTGCACTGATACAGCATTCAAAACTTCCCTGAGGAAACTTTGCCTTTTATAAAATATAGCAGCATAGAACAGGATCATATCAAACATTTCCTCCCATTTCACACTGTTTTTGGCATTAAATTCTATATTAAGTGGAGTGCCTTAGTATTTTTAGTTGGCCTGGCTCCAAGACTACTAAAAGATCATGGGATGATAGCTTTGAGAGCTTGCATGCCTCTGGCCCAACAGAAGCATCAAGTAATGCTCCTCTGTGTGAAACAAGGCTTTCCTAGAGGTCAGTCCCAGAATGCAAAAGGCACTCCCAAGAGTTGAAATACAATGCTCTCGGCCTCCGGTTCTGCCTGCGAGATGCATTTCTTTGCCTTCTCAAGCATAAAAACACAGCAGCAAAGCAAATGTATATGAAATGACCAAAACAATGCGTTCCACACAGTTCTCCCTTTGGGAGGAAGAGGAGAAGATAAAGAGGTGAGTCATGTTGTTTACTGCTGTACAGGAAAATAGTTAATGGTTGGAAACGTCACTGATGAGCGAGAGCGGAAAACCTGAACAGACTGGAAATGAACTGGCTCCTTTCCTCATTATGTTCTGCACATACCTTTTTGTGATAGATTATAAGCAAAGCGTGTATTGGCAAGTATTTTAATTGAATGATTTGTCATCATAAAATATTTTTTAAAGATGCTATCTAGGTTTGCTTCAGGTTTAAAAAAAAAAAAGAAAGGTAACTACAAATACTTTCTTTCAAAAACATGCCCAGTCAATCCCTGTCTCCAAGATTTATGAACAGCAACAGAGCTAATAAATATCTGCATTGCACTGTGGTAAAATTCTGCATGGTGTTTGCTCCAAATTCGACAATGTTTTTCTAGGACTAGGCTGCGTCCATTATTTTCTGGGTATTTTAAATCTCTGGACCTACTTACTTTCATTTCTGTCTAAACATAGGCAAAATGTTTATTTAGAATTATGTATTGGGTTCAATTCTACTTGCTTTGTCTCTCGACTATTTTACAGAAAGAATACAAAACAGAGCAGTCACAACCCCCTCTTGCATGCTGTCTTTATGGGCTGTTTCAATTCAAAAAAGAAAAATAAACGGAAAAAAAAAAGTTTAGCTTGTATTAGTCAAGTACTGTAACAACAGTTTCAGGTCTGTGGCTGAAAAGCAATATAGCAACGTGGTAAGAAAGAGATAAGTAGAAGCTGCAATATTCTGGACAGTTTTCATCTCTCACTGTTCCTTTTATCCTGCAGCACGCAGGGTGTGGAGGGAAAGAACTACTTCAGCGCTGGAGCTGTATGGGATGTGTCTGCAGTGCTGGAGCCGCAGGGGCCATGCTGGGTGTTGGTAGCGTCACAGGTGCGGTTCTGGGATGAGCTGGGGTTTTGTTTGTGAATGTGGTGCTTTTCCTGACGTTTTGGTAAAGGTGTCTGAAGGTGCAAAATAGGAACTTTGTCTCCAACGGTTAGCAGAGTTCAGTAAATCATTCTAGAGAGAAGCAATGTTGTTTAACTCTAGAAGATACAATGTATGGATCATGTTCAATGTCATCTTCATTTGGGTACAGTACCCAGTACTGCTGTCATCACTACCAAGGTTACGCAGCCTCTGTTGGGCAGCTGCAAAGGTTTTTTAGAAGCAACCAGCAGGGGTAGTTACAGTTTTGGTATCTGCTTTGGCCGTCATTCTTACGGCTCGTGGATACCTGGGTCTTGGGTCAGGTTTCCGTTCCATGATGCTGGGCTCATTGCGGATGCAAATAATTCTTCGTATTCCTAAGGAACAGCAGGAAGCTCACATGTACTGCCTTTGCTACATCTCTATGAAAGTGTATGATCTGTGATGCACACACACACACACACACACATACATATATTAAAAAAAGTATATATAGGTATACACAAAAAGTATACGTACGTATACTCATACACACCAGTAGCAGGCTCTGTGTAGCCAAAGCTTTTTGAAAAGTTGTCAGAACTGTTTCAACTACTAAATTCAGCACTTCAAAAAGAAATATATGAAGCAAAATCTTTGACACCTTTTCAGATGGTGGCCGAGCAAAATGCAGGGAGGTTAATGGCCTTTACTAATGGTTTGTTGTGGGATCATAAAGGAAACAGTGCAGTCTATAGCCTTCTAAGGAGAAATCCATCACAAACAGGCAATCTAGCAAGAGCCCTTCCATGAGGTAACCTCGCCAAAAAGCAGTTTTAGGCTGGAGAGTTCAAGGGCATCCGTTTTTATCTGGAATGGCAGAGCCCTGCCTCAGTGGGACAGCACCTGGGCCGGCTCGTCCTGCTCAGAAAACAGAGTTTTGGAGTTATCTTTCTCCCCTTGAATTTCTGCCTCGTCTGTCTCCCTCAATCTGCTTACCCAGTGTGAATTCTTGATTAGACAGGCAGCTACCTCTAATGTGGCAGAAGGGTAGGAAAAAGATGCTAAAAAGGTGGAAGTGTGTCTGTCTGCAGTGAGAACCCTGGCAAAAGTGCCTTTACAGAACACGAGCAGGGCCTCTTGTGTCCAGGGGAAATGCTTGGTGTGGACAGCCAGGGTCCATGTGTACGTGCAGTGAATTGAGCATCTTCTGTTGTGTGCAGAGTTGTTGAAATGCCTTATTTAAACTAAAGACAAGTATTTTCTAGGGGTTGGTGCTGCAAAAAATAGGTTTATGAAGTTATTTCTACTTGGTTTCCAACTGAGAGGACAGGGAAGGTTTGGAGGCTTTTTCTTTGTTTGCAGTATGGTTGGTCCCCTCTTGCTGAGTAAGTACATACCTTTGTGCTGCTAGAAACACGTACAGGCGTTTTCACGCTTTTTTTTTCATTATAGAGATTCCTCTCTGCAGCTTTTACTTAAGTGTCTGTGCAGAGTGGATATTGTAATAAATGGGTTACTAGCATGGAAATACAGTTATTTCTTCTGCTTAAATCAAAAAGATGCTTTTGCAGAGTGTTTGGACTGTTCTTTTTATCAAAAGGCATTAACTTTGCATTTCATACCAAGAATTCCAAAGCCCCTAACTCTTACCCCAGAACATGTTTAAATACAAGATAATCTGCAAAGGATGGTTAGCATAAATTACATTCTTCAAAGTTAAATGCTATATAAAAGGAAAAGTTAATCCTTCAAGCTCATTCTTACTCTGGATATTAAGTCAAGAAGTGTTCTTCTGTAAAAGGAAAAGTTAATCCTTGAAGCTCATTCTTGTTCTGGATATTAAGTCAAGAAGTGTTCTTCTGAGCAGACTTTATTCATGTTTTTAATAGGTTATCAACTAGTATATATGTTTTTAATAAAAATGTGGTGTCTGTAATAAACTGTATTTGTAATCAGCTAACATCCACTTTGTTTCTAAGTCCATTTTAATCCTGGCTTTAACTGATGTGTATGTTTGGTTTCAGCCATCTTGTTATTTATTTAACTGACAGTCTGACTCAGAAGAATTTTCACCTTTACTGCAATTGCACAAGGACAGGAAATGTCGAAGTCTTGAAATTGTGGCACCGTAAGTAAGTTCAGGTATTTCATAATCCCTTAGCCTAGAAATGTACACTCCTACCACTGCGAAGAGAGGGCTGTCAGCCTTCCAAACACATAATTGCTTTCAGCCCTGGGAAGCTGCAAGACAGTAGGAACTTTTAAAACCTTACATGGTTAAAGCCCTTCTACAACACTAGCTCCTCACAAAGAAATTCTCTGGGCTTTTTTTGTTTGTTTGTTTGTTTATGTACAAATTTTATGATTCTCTCCCAGATTTACATAATGAACTGGAAACAAGTAATAAGGATTATCATCTTTACATGTAAAACGGTTGAAGTGGTAATTCCAGTAGCATGCAAGAATTTTTAAGTGTAAAGTTCCTTATAAAATTGAGCATTCATTACTTGTCATTGCATCTCTTGCCTCGGATTTGTGGAAATTTTTTCTTCTGTGGTATGAGACAAAATCCATTGCCTACTATAATCTGCAAATGTAACCTAACACTTTGCTGTGCAAGCATGGCAGATGTTGGCGATGCCCTTGGTCCCCACCTGCTCTGTTTCTGTGGCACTTCTGTGGCAGCTCTTAGTCTTTAAATGGGATCGCAGGTCGCTGCGAGAGGCTGTGGTTTCTGGCCCTGACTAGGGGTGTGTGGACTTTCAAACTCAACATTTCTTGTGTTGTTGCCTGAAATTGCAGAGGATTGAGCCTGATGATCCACTCAGCTATTTCTGGGTCTGTACTGGGGTTGTTTTGCTGGATACGGTTCTAAAGCACAAACAGCATTGCTGCACTGAACCTTTTCATCATACCGCATAGTCCCTACAAAATGCTTTAAAGGGACATTTTTTGATGACTGTTGATGCACCTACAAACTTGGTTACTTACACACAGTAGCTGTAAGAGTGTTTTCTTTCTTTAAATTGCTTTGCAGACATTTTACTATCGGTCTGTCCACCCTGAAACATACAGCCCTGGCACAAGAAGGGCTATGGCTGAACAGGTCCAGATGAAGGAGAGCCAGCCCTTTTCCACTCGCTGAGCTGCAGCAGACTCCAGTTAGGAAACAGCTGTGCTGTAAATGGACTGTCTAATGTGTTTGAAGTGTAAGTAATTTATTAGACACCTCTAAGATAGGAGGCAAATATTATCTTCATCTTACAGATGGTGGAATTAAGACACAGCTGGTTTGACAACTCTAGCTAAAATTCAGGTTACACGTTATTTTGCATTAAATTCAGATCAATTACTTTTTTGCATTAGAAATCATCCAGAACAGCATTGCACCTAAAAACTTGAAAAATCATTTGATTTATTTGTTATATTTACACGTTTGTCTTTAAGCTAAAATTTGAACTTTTTGGAATGTTTTTGTGTAATCAACTCTAGTTTTAGCCCTTCACACCTTTTTGCTATTTAACAAGTATTTTAATAAAAGTACTTTTTTCCCTTAGCCCAGTGAGTATAATCAGTGTTAAAAGTTTAACTATACAAAGTGCCTAGAAAAGCATTCAGCTCAGTAATCCGTCACTTCATATTTCTTTCAAATCTTCTTAATCAAGTCTTGTAATAAATAAAGACTAATACCAACATGACAATGCTGTTTTTTCAAATTATTCATTTGCCAGTTTTAACAAGATAAAGAAATGAATACTTAATGTGGACATTGTTTTACTTTTAAAAAAAAAAAAAAAAGAGAGAGAGAGAGAGGGGGAAACCAAACCCCAAAATCAAAAACCAACACCCCAAAACAAACAGGCAAAAAGGAGGACACAAAGGAACACACATGGAATGATGAAAAGGAACAATGATATTGCACAACTTCAGGTCTCTCTGCCCAGATTTTGATCCATGTAATTAGGTATGTATGAATTCAGCAAAAAATTGTGTCCAGATAAATTTGAGTGAACCTAGAACTGTAGACTGCTTTCAATTCCTTCTGACTGCTACTTGGAGTTCTTCTCTAAGAGAGCAGGTTGCTGTCAGCTGCAGGAATAATAAATAAATCAACATGTTGATTCTACATTTTGCTGACCAACCCTTCAAAAATCATCCATAATGTGCAAAATTATTCTGTATTGTAAATACACTAAGTCTTCAAAGTACTTGAGTATTTAAACATAACTTGTTGTATCAAGTACTGAAACTACAGATGAAAAACAAGAACATTCCCCGATTTGTTGTGGTTAACTTGAGATTGCATCTCATTTTGCAAGACCGGGACCTCAATGTATCAGCGTTGCGTTGAATGTATAAAAGTCACAGTAGGGTACATTAAGCGGGGGGGGGGAGAACCCAAAAACAAAACAAAAAAAACCCATGCTAAGTGGATAAAAGGTCTTTACAGCTACAATCTTTGCCAGACCATCTCTTTACAAGCACATACTGTTTGCTACAGAAATTAGCTAATTGCGTCATTCTGGCTATAGCAGTACTGTTTTCCCCCTCAACTGCTAGTATGACAGCCTGTGTTTATATAAACTTTGCATTTACGTGCAGAACAGAATATATTTTTCTCATACCTGTTTGGTGGACTGATGTGTCAGCCAGCAGGGCTTAACAGATACATTTAATACAGGAGACTGAGATACAGTATGTTTATTCTTAACTTCTGATAACCTAAGAACTACAAGAACGGGAGATGCAGTATCCATTTGCTATGATCCAACACAACCATTTTTAGGGAGAAAAAAGTAGAATAAGTGATCAACACTAACACTACATTAGTTCCAAATCTTTTTTTTCAGTCATGGTAGCTTAACTATTTATTGTCCATCTGGCCCACTTTTAACCTGATCAAGCTAAAGGTGACATATTAAAGTTTAAGGACTGTTGTTTCATCAAAACCGAAGCAAGTTAAAAAAAACCATGAAACCATAATTTCACTATAGGACTTGTTTCATATCTTCATATTCGCATCACTTGTAGAAAAGGGATAATGCATCTCAGTTTGCTTACAAGCTAGGAGATCACTTTGAAGTCTGCATATTCCTAACTGCAAACAAAATATAGCACTTTTAACAGGTTATAAATAAACTGGTTTTCAAGCATAGAGCCAGCCCAACAATAACAATACACTATTAAAAAGACCTAAGGCAATGAATTCCATCTCCAATGGAAAAAAAAAGAAAAAGAACTGTGCAAACAAGCTCAAAACTATTTCTTTGTGCCAGTGTTATAAAATGTAGATTTCAATAAAGCCTTGACCCAAATGCCAGGACTTGTGAAAAGAATCAGAACAAAACTGGTTACTTTATTTAGGAAAAAAATACTCTTATCTTGCTGCTAATAAAATTGGATACACGCAGTTTAAACATTTACAGTTGCTGTAACACTTTACACAATTCCTATATATGGGTGTAAGAACAAACATTAAAAGACAATGGTGGGTCAAGGCTTTACATTAAAAATAACAACCTACTTTTCTATAGTCTCTAAAATACTATGTTTTTTCCATATTTGCAGCCATTCAGGAATATTTTTTTATTTATTTATTAGGAAATGTATACTTTGTGCATGATCTTAATTCCTAATTCCTGGCTCTTTGGGCTGAATGACAAAAGGATCAAACCCATTAAAGTGGATGGTCTCCTTGAAGGTTCAGTGGAGAAACCCTGGCTCAGTTAGTCTCATATGATGAAAGCAGTGCTGCATCCACTGGCTCCATGCAGGATGGACAGGTAAAGGATCTCATCAACCAGTCATCTATACAGTCCAGGTGGTAAATGTGCATGCACGGCAGAAATCGGATAGGGTCCCCATAAACAAAGTCCATCATACAAATGACACATCTGGGGGAAAAATAAAAAATCATAAAAATGTTTAAGCTGCTGTTACCACACTGGAAATGAAAAGTAGTGTAATATCTGCTCCTGGATGTGTGACAAACTTTTGTCCTTGCAGCTACTGTGAGGAGTTCTTAGCTCTGCCAGTGCTGGCTCTACCAAGCACTACATTTTTTTTTTGTGTTTCCTCTGCAGTATGTGCCCATGGCTACAATGTTAGCGAGGGCAGGAAGCCTTCCGTAGGCATGGCGGAGGCATGGCGGGGGCAGCTCAGCAGAGTGCATAAAATTAGAAATGGTAAAAGGGAGCCGTAAAGGTGAGGACGTAACACGAAATTATTTCCCTGTGAAGAGACAAGAAAGAGGAAAAAAACCTGTATGGGCATAAATTACATGGGTCGGGAAAGTAAGTTTCACCTGTAACAGGAAAACAGGTGAGGATAAAGGAAAGAGCCTCCTGCATGGTTATTTTTTTTCAGAAAGCTGTATTAAATTACAGTCCCTGCGAATAAGGCAAAAACAGGAGGACAAGATCAGGTTTCCCAGGGCAGTATCATAAACCAATGCAACAGCCACATCAATTCAGTTAGGTTTCTGTAACTTACTCTCTGATCTTCTTCTCGGAGCCGTCTCTCCCAGGATCATAGACTCCTTTAGGTAGATGCTGAATAAGGCCTATCCTCTGCGCTATTCTGATTTGTTCCTCTTCTGTCAGCTGTGTTGCTAGCCGAGTCTGGCTAGGCGTCGGGTGATAAACAGGAACAGGGACCTGCTCCTAAAATTAAAATATTTCAGTTACAAAAACTACAGAGGCTTTCCAAGCATTTCGCAGCACAGTACAGGCAACATACTTAACTTCTCCTCTTGTAGTCCTACGAAGGTTTGTATGATCTCCCACTCCTACTTCGCAATTTTGGGGCTATAATTATATTGAGAATGGGATAAAGAATTGAGGCCAGTATATTGAGCAAGGAGCTGCTCGTGGTTTTCTGCAAAAGCTTTTTATCTCCAGGAATAGTTCATACATGAAATACATGTACAACAAACTCCACATGACAGCAGGCAAATAAATCTTACAGGCACCTGGTGAACTGCTAAAATACTGAATTGAACAACGTAATGGCTGAGGAAGAACCAGGTATTTGCAACAAGAAGTGGAGTTGTTTTACATTTAGGAAGAGAATTATTTGCAAAGATGAGGACAGTGCCTATTAAGAATTTTAGAGAGGAAGGTTTTATTGGTTCTGTAATAATTTTATGTGAACTGAATTTTATGTGAACTGTTCTGGGCCACACAAGCTCCAATCCAGAACTGTAGATTTAATTCTTGTGTGTTTAAAAAATGTCACCTGGACCATAAAAAGAATAGCTTAAGTAATCCAAGTTTTACATTTGTTTTCACACATTAATATGATTTTACAAGTTCTCCCAAGCTGGACTTCAACTGCTGTATGTTTAAAGTATGTATTACCCAAACAAAAAAATAGGCAACATGTAGGTGTATGCAGTCCTTCCTCTGCCATGTTCTCAGAAGCTTCTTTTGAATATTAATGAACTTTAGATCAGATATTTTCACTAACATTTATATTAACATGGTACTTATTTTACTTGCTTTTAAAGCACTTTTTGGGACGTAAATATCAATTTTGAAAGGAGATGCTATTAGGACAGCATCAGCCAACAGCCATAAATCTACTGTCAATAGGGAGACGATTTCTTGCAATAGGCCTACTTTAATGGTACTTCTTAAACAGCAGAAAAAAATTCAACTTATAGACATGTTCTGAAAATAAACCAGGTGCATCAGAGAGACCATAGCATTGATTCATCTGCTTGAAAAATGCAAAAGTTGATGTTTCAGAGGACATTGCTGCCAAACAAGCAGACTGCAGGAGCCTGTGCAGCTGCACCGCAGGAAGCGCTGATGCAGCGCAGCACACCTCGCGTCCGACAAAGTTCCCATTGCCAAACTCCCCCTCTCTCATCTCTGATATGGGGAGGACGCGGGCTTTCCCCGTCTATGATGGAGCAACCACTTTCTGAAATGTGCGTGTCCTTACAGAGTACGGACCGCTGGGGGCATCTCCAGATACTTCTGGGAGCAGGAACACAGCTGCGTTCCCCTCAACCTTGTCTTTTGGTCTGCTCCGGCAATGGTCTAGTGCAGTGTTCAGTCTTCAACTGACACCTGGCAAAGTCCAGATACGGGGTTTAACGCATGTAATACTGCACTTGTAAAACCTGATAAAGCGATTCTTCTTTCACTGCTAGGAAGCACGGCAAGCAGAAAGACAGACAAGACTCCTGGAAGGCTGGGGGAAAGTGGCCTCTCGCTGGCCGGTGCCAGGGGTGCCCAGCAGCAGAAGTCCTTGCTTACGAGAAATGCTAATCAAAAACGCAGGTTTGCCTGGCAATTCTTTTAACACAGCGCCTACTGCTTGCAATTCAGCTGGGGTAAAATTCAGTCTTCTCTTAATTTAGCGACACTAGGATTTCCCCCTCTGATTTCCTAGCAGAACTCAGAGGAATTATGAGAAGTTCAAAAGACAAAATACCAGTGGTTCTGAAAGTTTGATTAAATTTCCTGACTACTCTAAACTGTATTTCACAGAATCACAGATTTCTTCTAGATCGCTGCCTTTTAATGGTTTAAATTGCCTAAAGTATTCTCTAATCATTGTTTGGATAGGGAAAAGCACCAGCTGAAGCTGGGGATGACCTGTCAGATACAACAATATTCATGAAGTGGCTCTGCAACCTGCGGTGCCAGCAAAATAAAGCCTTTTTCCCCCCTCGCAAATGCTGCATACCCTCTGCACTGAACACATCAGCTTGAGGAATGGCCTGGTCCTGGTTTTATGGTTCAAGAACTTAACACCACAAACTATCGGTAACTTTTTTTTTTGGCAAGGCTTTGCTATACTTCTTTGGACAGATTATTAAATCAACAGCAGAAGACATTACTGCTAGCTCCTTTATTTGTCATAAAGACATACAGAACACTTAGCGTTTGGAGAGAGATGCACCCTCCTCCCCATCTTAGAAAAAAGGAGGAGCAGTGTTAACTAACCACATGCAGGGCACAGGCTGATGCTAGTAAGGGCAGGAGGAGGGGAGGCTGCTGTATTTAATACAGCTCCCCTTGGCAAAACCACGGCTGCAAGTGATGATGCAGAAATACAAGGAAAGGCAAAAACAGGAGGAGGAAAAAAGATCCAAGAAACTCAAAATGTCTGAAAGTAGCAGTGACAACTGATAGTGAATGCCTATAGCAGAACAACAGCAAACTGTTCCTCTCAGCAGAAACTAGACAGCAAAAGGAAACTACAGTTAAGAAAGAATCTGTTGTGAGTTAAAACTGTCCCATTTGGACAACCCTGAAATGAGAAATCGGTCACACTATCCAACTGATGACTGCTTCGGTTAAGTTTTGGACAGTAAACTAACACAACTTTTAAGCCTGTAATAGGCCAAACAAGAACGAAACCTCGTTCCCTTGTTCTGGTCTTTTACAGGTGCTTGCTGCGAGTGACCACCGCGGGACTGTGCACTCGAGGAACCCATTTCTGCATTATTGCAGTGCCCCTCTCCCGTGGGTGTCATCTTCCCCGCCGAGACCTGAAGAAGAGGGGCCTGACGGACCCCCTGGCCCCCTTCCCATGCCAAATACACAAATGCTTTCCTGACCACCAGCGCTGTATGGAAACACTCCTCCTTTTGGCATCCTGTCTCAGGTTCCCTCCCTGCAGAGCCACCACCCTGCGCTACGGGTCTGACATAACCAATTAAGGCAGGAATTTATAGTTGCCAGCTGTGGGCTTCTACAATTTCACATACTAGACAATCTCTTGTCGGATGAGTAACTCTGGGTGAAAATGGTGCTGTCTTTCACTTCTTCACGCTTGTGAATATAAAAAAATTGGGGTTGGTGTGGCTGCCAAGCTGTTGTGAAAAATGCATAAATTGTACTACTGTAAATAAAGAAGAGTGACCACTAACACCCATGATCCGGTGCACTTCCTTAACATGCTGTCTGGTGGCACCTTAATCTCGCCTCCCGATTACTATTAAAAGCCTGCCCAAACAGAGCTAGCAGTCCATTGGATCCAAACACACCAGTAAAATGGAAGAACACAGCCGCACACACTGCAGAGAGTCACATTATAGGGCACACCAACAATGACCTTTTCAAACCAGTCCTCTCCCCTCCAACAGATAAAAAGAAAAGGTGTGTTTATACCTGTATGATTCTAAAAATATATTAAACTATTTATTCATGAGAGTATGAGAGCCCAGGTTGCTCTGGCTCAGTTTGTTGAAGTGACATTCGGTATCCGCAGAGGGGTCAAAGGAAGAGATGGAGTAGACTGCATGAAGTGCTCCCCCAACTAGACCCTGACCACCACCCATCAGCCGAGCTGGGCTCCTTCAGCCCCCGGCAGCCCCGCCGGCACCCAGGCTGGCCCCACACGCAGCCGCCACCCCATCACCACATGGCAGCTGCCTCCTCTGGCTTCTCCGCTACCAAATCTCTGAAGCGTTTTTGGAAGTTAAGCTCATCTGACAATAATTTCAAGCCGCCTGTAAGGACGGAGTGCAGCCCTGCCTGTGCGGGTTTATCACCCCTTTGCAAATCTTTCACCGTTTAGAATGGCTACTTTTATCAACCCACGTTAAGGCAAGGTCCCGCTCACTCCAGTGTGGATATTCAAGGGTAACAACGTGAGGATTCAAGACTTCAGTCAACTTACATTTGTAGCTAAAGGCCGCTTGACATGTGTATATATATATAAAAAAGATTGTATTACCCAATTTATTATTATTTTACTCCAAAGACAAGCATGAATTTATTGCTCTGGTGTCTCACTTTTCCCTTATCTACCATGGAAAATGTTTTTGCAGACGAAATTACGAAATACTGAACTTCTAGCCAAAGTCCGTGTTATTTATCATTTGATAAAGATGTCAGGCATTTCAAATTAAGATGAGATTTCATGTTAACTCTATTCCTCCATACAAAAAACCTAAAAAAGGCCAAAACAAATAATCAAAACCACATTTTAGTGTCAGGCAATGAAATAAAAATCAGTTTCTGGCACTTAAATTTGCTTTAATCAATTTTTTTTCCCATATGAATTTCATAAAATAATGAAACATCTCAGATGGCCACAGTCCGGCAGATAACACTTCTTTCTTGTTCACGAAGTAGGTGGTGTCAGCACAAGTTTCCCTGGCTTTCTGTGCACAGAAATAATTCGTTCCTAATGTTTATTCAGCCCTTAACAGCACTAATTTAGACTCGAGGACTACAGCAGGGTTTGTGTCTCCATCTCACCCTGGCTCCTCCTCCTTTGGGGGGAAATAAAATCATAGAGGGCATTTGGACGCCTGCATTTTTCAGTTCTAATGAAAACAAACATTTTCACACATGGCTTAAAAGGCCCAGACACTGTGTTTCTGCATGCAGATTCCCAAGCAGGCTTTGGGCTCTCACCTAGAAAAAGGAGGTTTCATCGAACACAATTTTTAGTTCGAAGTTTTCTCATCAATGCAACCTACCTTGGTTACTTATGATGCTGTAAATCTGCTTTTCTCTTGGTTTACAGCATTTTCATCTTGTTTTTGCAAGTGCAATGAATTTGTAACACTCTGAAAACAGGTCAGTGGTAGGTCAGAAACTCTTAATCCTTGGATAAAGATTATTTTAAGATCCCTCACGCCACGTATCAGCAGTATGTTATCAGGGCTTTTGTTTGTTTGTTGTTTTTAATAATT